AGAAAAATAAGCACTATAAGTGATGATGTTAGTTTATAAATGAAATCATTTTTTTGTAATTTGTTTAAGCATTAGGGAGTCAAATCATTTGATTCTGGTGCTGGCAAAAAGAAAAACATCCAGCTAAACATTTTTATTAATTTTAGTCTTTTTTAAATGTATTTATTTATTTACTTACATTTCATGAACTGCAGACATGCTGCTATTTTATACACAGCATATACATTTTAGCATAGCCTCCCTAACCTGGATCATAACAGCAGCCAGAATAGACTGTATGTACTGCCACAGGAGTTCTGTCTACAAAAATATCTAAACCCTAAAATGTTTGTCTGTATACATTTCATATTAAAAGAAAGAAAAAGTCTGAAGAATTTTGAAACCCTGTAAAAAAAAAAAAAATATGAATGTGCCACTTGAGATCATCCTCTAATACTGAAATTAAATATCTCAACTGTGTGAACTGTGAATGTGACCTTCCCAACTGGCTCCCCATGACTAACAAAGGATTGAGCCTACGATCAATTTTCACTACAGAATGTGTGACACATCAAAGCCTTAATATAACAACTTTTTTGCTGGGTTGTCGATATTCAAGGTCAGATATCTTTTTTCACATTTTTTCAGTGTTTTTCTTATGAATCTTCTGTATATTAAGATTGCAATCCACTGGTACTTGAACTAAAGGTCAGGGTACTAGCAAAGGTCAAATTAGGTCAAAGTCATCTCCAGTTTACTGCCTATAAGCTGAGGGCTTGGTTAAAACAAATTACTCTATGTTTCTCATATTAACTCTGGAGATGTTTTGCTTTTTCCCCCTTCCAACATGAAACACATGTTGATCACTCAGAACAAGCAGCTTGAGTTTAAAGTTTACTTTCAGACTTTTGCTAGTAGTTAACAACTAGGCACCTAACGAGAATCACTATGCAAAACATAATTTTTAAGAGTTGGTGGCATAAGAGATTTACGGATATGTGCACAGGCTTAACAGTTTGATTCGTAGACATTCTGCTCCTCGTCTATGTTTGGATCCTGAGCAGTTAAAATGCTGGCACAGCCACCTGACTCCACAAGCAGTTGGGCAGAGTCAGCCGCAAGGTGGGATTTCACATTCCTCATTTACAGTGTCCCAGCATGTCTTCAAATGTCTGCACGAGTCACGCAAGAATCCAGGAATCCCCAATTTGACAGACTGATGTCACGGGGTAATATAGATGACACATGAGGAGAATCTCAACCTTTTCTGGCCCATGACGCCATTTTTAAGTCTTGAAGGTTCTCATGACCACAGCAGTTACAGAATCATATGACCTTGAGTACACTTATGTTTGTTGGGGGAGCTCTTAATTAATTAAATACATTATATAAAAATGACTGTATTTGAGGTAAAGCAATTAGTTAATAAATGGATTAGTCAATTGCCAAAAATATCTGCAACTATTTTCATAATCATTTAAGTAATTTCTTAAGTATAAATTCACCAGTTTCAGCTTCTCAAATGGGAATTTCAATCAATTTTTCTGACATTTGTAAACCTAAAAAACTGACAAAAATAGCCAGATTAATCGTTAATGAAAATAATGCTGCAGCTCCATATTATATTTGAAAAGTATTATTTTGTTCTAATAAACTTTTTAAATACCATTCTAATCAATTCCTTTTTATAAATCATGTCTATCTGAACTCTTCTATTAATAATTCCGTTTCTCTCAGTTTTTACTTTACAAAAGTGCTGTAAAAATGAATGTTTATAATAATAAGAATATCTAATTTTAAGAGATAAGAGTGGTCTGTATGGGTATATAAAAACTGCCAAACATATTCACTGCAGTTGAATAAAGTTTCCTTTTCATGATCCCTTCATGAAATCTATTAACATTTAATTGTTTTGTATTTTGTGATTATGACAAGAACGTTTCAACTGTAGAAATATCCTCCATAAATAACCGTAAACAAACAAAATCTAGTTGGTTTTCCCCACACTGCCCTCCTTGTATTTTTGCTCAATCGGAGTAAAAAGAGTCATAAAACACATCAGTGATGTAGCTGACCATGTACGACATTACAGAAAAAGGATAATGACAGAAATGAATAACATTTTCTAAAAGACCTATCATTTAACAGCATCTGATTGCTAATTTAACAATATACTTTCTGGATTGTGCATTCTTTGTGTTTCAGCCACAAACTGATCAAAAACAATCGACAACGCTGCAATGAGTTCACCAAACCAGGACCCAAAAGCCTTAGGTAGGTTTGGAAAATGTGAGGGATTTTTTGTGTAGGTTTTGGTTGCTGTGTGGAAATATGGAGTGGTTGTTTAGATTACCATTGCATTATAAACGGTTACATACATAAATCTTACCAACAAAAGTTGTGCAAATTCAGACAAAGCCCTTCACACATGTTTAAATAAATATATTACCGACATAAATTGGCACACAGGTTCCACTTTTTATCCAGCTATATAGAATGAGCTTTTCCTTTCAAAATAACTTAATTTGGAATGTAATTTCTTTAGTACTACAAGTGGAGAGAAGTCTATCATCGATATATATGAAGAGCAAAAACTGTACCAATTTATTTACCTCCAAGAAACACTATCCCAGAGTGAAACCATTCACACCCATTCTTGAGTTCTAGCATTGGTGTCTCAGAGTGGTTAATGAGAGGGATATCAGCTTTATACAGCCCACAAATTCTTACTGAAGGTGGCCTGAAGTCTGCTGGAGTCCAAATCTGACAGTTCTTCCAGGAGTGATTGGTATGCAGAAGCAAACGATTGACTGGCTGTCCTACCAGACGTGGATTATGTGTGAATCAATGCTTGAGGAACAAGGTTACAAGAATCCTGCCTGCATTCAGATAATATAAGCGCATAAACCAACCCCTTGAGAGATGACACACACAGTTTGATGAATATTCAATATATGCCCTCTAACTGGAGCACGGCTGCTGTGGAAAAGTGATGAAGAACGGGTAATCTGAAAGTAACTCACATTGGAAGTGAAATAATAAGCCAGCCCTTGGGTTTACTATACGTCAGTGAAAATGGTTTAGTTTAGGGGGGAGGATCTGGTTTCACTTTCAAGTCCACTTCGTAGTTGCATTCTTACATTGTCATTAATCTGTATTTTACATGTTTCCATGTGAATTTATGCACAATAATAGATGATGGTGTGGTACAGATAAGACCATGGGGAAGTAGAGGTTTGAAGAACAGAATATATTTCAACTTCCAAAAATGCATGTTTACTATGGCTTACCATATTGTCTATTTCTAGGAAATCAAACAACTTTGGAATATACCTGCTAAATTTGAGCTGAATGGGCTTTAAATGTCTCACAAGGTCTTAAGTCACTGTTAAGCACTGTAAGCTACAAGGACTTATCGCAGAAATCTGATAAAGGCTGTGACCCAAAAGCCAGAATTACTTCACTGAAATGCAGGTATCACATTTGAAACTAAACAAAAGATAAACGTGTTGCTTACTAAAACTGAATCTTAGATTGCTCAAATAAAAGGATTAAACCTTTTTAGTGATTGATCTCATTTGTTGTGACAGATGAGTTTAAGAAGCAGTTGTACAAAGTTGTGTGTTGCTAGGTATTTGGTCTAAATATTTTTGAGTAAAAATGGCTTGTTTGTGGCCATTGACTCACTAGATCCTGCGACATCCCTTTGAAAGTCAAATTGTTTTCTTATTAACTTTTGGTATGGTATCTACATAGTCACACACACAGTTTAATGAACGAAGACTACAACAGTTCCATATGGCTTAAGACCTTATTTTATTGCAATGATTGTGGGACACATTTGATTCTGCACACAGCTTTCCGGTAATTAGCCGTTTGGCCTATCTATATTGTACAGCAGTAAAGGTTCAAGCCCCAGGGTGGATGAAGCAGCTCAGAAAAAGGAGAAACAGTTGGAGTTTGTGATTTCAGCAGCTGTTGGATGAATTTAGTGTCATGTAATGAGTCATCCTACAGTCCCAGAGAGGAAAAGGGCTGAAAAAATGTGTTACCAATCTTTTTTGCTGTTTCAACCACCACAGTAACGAACTGTTAAAGGTCCAGTGTGTAAGATTTAAGGGGCTCTGTTTGCAGAATATTGGCAGCAATATAATATAAAGTGTGTTTTCATAACTGTATAATCAGCTGAAAATAAGAATAGTTGTATTTTCATTTCTTTAGAATGGGCCATTTATATCTACCAACGGAGTAGGTTCCATTTCCACGGAGTCGTCACGTTGAATCTAGAGCCAGTATTTGGTTTGTCCAATTTCTAGATAGGGCATTACACTTTTTTGCGAGTTGTGTGACCCGTTTGCTTGGAACAGTAGGGTGACTTTGTAACAGTCTTTGTCTGACAGAAGCAAATGTATCAGAGCATCTTGATCTTCTTTTTTTTTTGCACTGTTCTAAAATAATTGTGATATGAAAAAAATAAACTAAATGTGTTTAATTTTATATTTGTCCTAAATTAATTGGAATGCAGTTAGTAACACCAATTTCACTGTTTTTGAGTGTTGTTGGAATACATATGTTTTCCTTGATGAGTTAATACAAAATGTAACTTAATCAGCATTGTTGAATTTAAGGTCTTGTTGTAGCAGCTGTAATGGTTGACAAAGAGAAAGGAAACACTGACCTCTTGTGAAATTCTAGTGTAAATGCAACCAGAAGCAAAAGCACTGGGGAATATAGGATATCCTTAATGTTAAGATAATATTACTCCTTTTAACACAAAACTGATGGTTTAACTACTATGATTACTTTTGAGATATCTGCCAAGAAGAATTCTGCAACTTGTTTAAATAATTAATAAATAACCATATCCATATTGTTTGGTTTTCCTCAGACATGTTTTAACAGTGTGAATAATGTACACAATTCTGCTAACACACGTATTTATACAATTTGTGTTCCCCATTTCTTTGATCTATGTTTAACTACCTCACACCGCTGAATTGTACTGTTATTTTCTGGTCTTAACAGTGGCTATCAAGAAAAGGTCCAGAGTTCCTGGGGTTATGATCACTCAGTATGTTGAGGTACTGCCTGCAGGAAAGTCAACACCTGACTTCACCCGGAAGCCTATGGCTGTAACTGTTCAAGAGGGTAAATAACAAACACACAAAGTAAAACTGTGATTACAAAAATACTATCAACAACTGTATCCCTATATTTTGATTTTTCAGGTAAAAAAGCGATGTTCAAAGCTATGGTTAGTGGAGAGCCGGCACCAACTGTAACATGGGGGCGTAAAAAGGGCAACATTGATGACCCAGAAAAGTTCAAAACCAGATATGATCAAAGAGCTCAAGAGCACATTCTTGAGGTGAGAAAACAGAATTTAAATAAAATGCTCCATGAAAAAGACGTAACTAATATTATAATAATATATATATCACAATTCACTCTCCTTCACACACACTTTCTGAACTGTATTAAATATCTATATTTAAATATAATTTTTTGCACACTAAAGTTAGGTACTTTGTTTTGTTCTCAAAGCACAGTACTCAATTATAAAAGGTTCTGTAAATGAGAGACAGAGCCTAATTTTCAGCCCTAAAGATGCAATCTAACTATGTTATGACAATATTGCTTTGTCAGATACTCACTGTAAAACCTGATCAAGCAGACACCTACAAATGCTTTGTCACCAATGAGTATGGACAGGCTATCTGCACTGCACCTCTTAGTGTTATTGAAGGTAAAAGTACTTAATTGTGGATTATTACCATCCAATACGCTCATTGTAAATTACTCATACTGTAGCTTTGACTGTCCACTTATGATTTCTTGGTTTCATGATTTTTCCAGTTGGCATCAAGAAGAAAGGCAAAGCAGGTATGACGTTTTCCACAGAACTATGATGGTATCGCACATCTATCCCTTTTTTATGATTACAGAAATTTCATGATAGTTTTTTTTTCTTAAAATGATGATTTCAGCAATAACAACACTGTGTGGAACACGGTAATAAAATACTGAGTCCTACGCTGTAATTAAAAGCCTCTGCAACTGTGGCGCAAGACTCAATGGTTTCAAAGAATTGTTAAAGATGTACTGTACAAATCAGTTTAAACCAGCATATTTTGTTCTCATCTCATTTTCATTCAGCAGATGGACAAACACCACAAGATTTCAGATCGATGCTTAAGAAAACGTAAGTCAGAACCAAAGTTTTTTTTTTAAATATATACTGCTGTAAACTCTCAAATACATATTACTCTGCTTGCTCTCTCTTTCTTTAGTGTTGTTGTCACCAGAAAAAAACAACTCCCACCAAAAAAAGAGGGAGAAATTGATCCTAAGCTCTGGGAACTGCTTCTCAGTGCACCAAAGAAGGACTATGAAAAAATCTGTTTGGACTTTGGCGTTACTGACTTTCGCTGGATGCTGAAGAGACTCAACCAGATGAAAAAGGAAAGGAAAGATGAGCAAGCAAAGGTAATGTCCCGCATGCAAATGGTATCAACTGCACAATAATTCTGGATTATGTATTTTGAACCTCCAAATTGTTGGTGAGGTTTCCTTCCTCTGCATGTCTAGTTTTGCCTGAGGCTAACTGTGCCTACTGCATCTTAAGAAGTAAACTTCTATGCTCAAGGGCGCTTAAGTTAAAAATGTCATGGCTTTAGCAGTGAAGTTCAGAGCAAAATCTACAGATACACAAGACTTTCTTTATTTTTCTTTTGCAGGTTGTGGAGACACTGGAAAATGTGAAACAAATAGAAGTAAAACCCAATGGAAAAGCCGAATTTAGCCTCGACATGAAACTATGGGATCCCAACAGTACAATTAACTTATACAAGGTGAGTTAACATATATACCAAGATAAACTATTTAAAACTGATCACTGCTCAAAAAGAAAGAAATCAAAAAACCCAATCTAACTACTTTTCTCTAAAAAGGATGGAACATTGGTTCCATATGGTGATGATGAAAATTCAAAACACAGCCTTAAGAAAACAGGGACAAAGTATGTTTTCAGCATCAAAAGTCCTCAGCCAGAAGATTCTGGATTTTACCAGGTTGATGTTGAAGAGGCCAATGTCCTTGCAACTGACTTTCAAGGTAAGGTCTAACAATTGCAACTGTAATAAATCATGATGATTGTATTGGCAGTTGGTGAGACAATTCAGTCAGTTAATACACACCTACCCTTCCTCCTCTCTCAGTGCCTGCTGTGGACTTCATAGCAAAGATTAAAGACGTGAAGGCCTTTGAAAGTGAGGACGCCATCTTTCAATGTCTCTTGTCAACACCCCTCAACAGAATTACCTGGTCAAAACAGGACTCGTCACTTGAACATGGTGGGAAATATGAGATCACTGTCTCAGAGGACAAACTTATTCACACGTTGAGAGTTAAAGATTGTAAAATGGCAGATAATGGAGCATATTATGCTATTGCTGGGATAACTTCCAGCAGTGCCTCACTCACAGTGGAAGGTGGGACATCTTTTCTTTTTCATATTGATATATACATCAATAAATAAAATATCAATCTAATCATGATAACGTGACAGCTGGACACACAGTTCTTGAATATTTCCTTCTTTATATAACCTTAAATTTTTTATATCACTGCATTTCAGCTAATTCAAATGGTAAAGGCCGAAAGGGTTCCCAAGCTGGGGATCAAGATGACCTGACAAAACTAGCACTGGAACAGAAGGCCAAGCTCCAAAAAGAGAAAGATGACATGGAGGCAGCCAGACGAGCACAGGCTGAAAGGGATGCTGCAGATGCAGCACTGGGGGATGGAGGGGATGGAGGAGATGGAGATGGAGATGGTGATGGTTCTGGTGATGGTTCTGGTGATGTGTCTGGTGATGTGTCTGGTGATGTGTCTGGTGATGGTTCTGGTGATGGTTCTGGTGATGGTTCTGGTGATGGTTCTGGTGATGGTTCTGGTGGGAAGACTGATGGAAACGAGGGAGATGGAGGTGACAAGAATAAGAACCTCCTGACAGATGAAGATGGTGAAAATAAAAAGGATCATACAGATAAGAAAAAGAAGCAATTACGAACTGGCCCTTTGGTTCCTGATACTGTTACAGGTAAAATCCTTGCATTGTGTGAATACTGAATAATGTGTCATTGCACTGCAGAGATTAACATAATGTCATAGTTTAAGTTCTAGTTCTTATAATGCGTCTCTGCTACTGCCAGCTTTGCTATCTGGGCCTGTATGTCTCAGAACTACCCCTAGGTATTGCCTTGAAAGTTTGTTAGAAATAAGGTTGGTCTCAATCTAGAGTAAAATATAATGGTACAGTAGGAAGCTTTCTAGTCCAGAGATCAAAGTGGGAAAAGGACAATAAAATGCATGGACAAAGATGTGCATTAACAGTTTTAGTCCCAAGATAATTTAGGTTTTTAAATGTGTGTAAGTTTCAGTGACATCTAGTGGTGAGGGTTGCGAATTGCAATTTTGCAAATATTATTGTTAACTGTTCATAAAACAGCAACAGCAAACAGCAACATCAATAAACCAAGTGCCACATGATGTGGCATATTCCTGTAATACATTATTTTATTGTACTGTTATCATGAATTTTCTTGGGAGGGTTGGCTCATCTGGACAAACATACTAAAGTAAAAAACATCTCACATCTAGCGCATGTATGACCACTGCCAGATAACAGGTAAGCACCACAGTCCATTATAAACCACATAATACATGAACTTTACAAAGACATTGTCAGGTGAGGATCAAGTCTCCTCTCTCTACGTTCTTGTTATCATAACGCTGTTAGCAGTAAAGTGTTTTCCACCAGGGCAGTAAAATGTGAAGTTTAGGTGGCTGATCGGAACTTCCATGCTGTACCCTTTTATTTCCAATAATAATCAGCTGATTGTCTCACAAACGTAACAGACATCTATGTCCACATTGCAAAACCAAGACACAGTTAAAAATTACAATCCAATAAATTTATTTTTTCTAGTTCAGTAAAAGTTTAGCTGGATTATCTGAGCTTCCAGCTGAAAGTTACGTTTTATTGCCAATTAATCAGCTGATTGTCTCAGGAACGTAACAGACACATTTATATCGACAGCAAAGCCAAAACACACACTGAAGATTAATGTTAATGAATGAATGAATGAATGAATTACAATCCAACTATATATTTCACAACATTGACAGGGCAAACACTGATTATGGCCAGCTTCACAACAACAGTTTGCATTTGCATCGCTAAAGTTCCACTAACCTAATTACCTGTCCAGCAGGAAACAGGCAACTTCAGCACCGCTTTGAAAACATTTGTCCATCAGCTCTTTCCATCTTGGAAAATCCACAATTATTATATCCTTTATTTCTGCTGTCATCTGTCTTTGACGACGAAGATCCACACGCTGTCGGCTCTTGCTAAATAATAGGTGTCCTCCATTTTACCAAATTTCACTTCTGTTCTTACTTTTAATAAACCAGATGACTACTAATTGACTGTATATTATTATTATTATTTCCTCTTCTTCTTCATATGCATTCTATAGCCTCTTTTCCACTGCACAGTAACGGCTCGACTCGCCTCTACACGCCTTTGTTTGCTTTTCCATTGTGGAAATGTTGTACCTGTACCTGCTTCGAGGTACTTTTTTCGTATCACCTCCGTCGAGGTTCCAAGCGAGCTGAGGCGATACTAAAATGTGACGCGGAACACAGCAGACTACTGATTGGTCAGAGAGAATCGTCACTATTCACTGCATCATCATTGCGTGCTCCAGACGGAGGCCAGCAACAGAAAGTTTGATATTTTACAGTTTTCGGCGGCTAATGTAGTGACGAGCGTCTACTGGTGTCTACACTGCCGGAATTATACAAGCAGAAGAACAACCTGGTGACAAAACGCGTTTCTATAGAGGTGTTTGTCCCTTTACGGCTACTGTAGAACAAGGTGACATCCATGGAAAGGGGACCCGCAGTTATGTAGATAGAAATGGCTCATTCTAAGGTAATAGAAAAATAACGGTCCATTATGCAACGTCTTTACACACCACTCAAAACATAGTTATAGATTTTATATTGCATTTCTGTCAATACATCCTCAGAAATATTACACACTGAACCTTTAAATAGCAAGAAACTTCGTTAAGGTGTTCTTTGTGGGGTAGACACAGTTCAGATCTGTGGATAGACAAAATTTGTCACTGAGGAAAAATTCTAGAAACCTGTTAAAAATCGTATAAATTCTGGGAAATTTGGATTACTTTACTAGATTCAGAAAGTTAAAAAGGTTTTAATTACTATGCCTGAAATAGGGCTGTCCATTTTCGTTTAAACTTTAGAAAACAGTATTAAAACATGTGCCTTTAACATTCTGAATATAATCTAAATAATTTATACTTTACTAAATTTCTTTTGCAGTCCTGCATGTTGACTACTATAGAGAGACAAATTGTAAGTTTAGAAAACAAACAGCATTAAGTCAGAACGGGAACAGGGACATTCTGGTCAATGCTATCCTTGATTAGCTTGTGTTGTACAATAGAAACCTGCATGCTCATGAACATGCTCATGAACAAACAGAGGTAGAGGCAATGCAGAAAGCTTCTGCATTGCCTCTACCTCTGTTTGTTCAATTTACTCTACACTATTTATCTAACTGACATTTCCCCATTCTTACTGCTGCAGATCGAGGCGTTCAGTTTGTCAGTGGGCTGTCCGATACTGTTGCTAATATTGGTGAACGGGCAGAGCTAACTTGCAAACTAACAAGTGAGACCTCTGAGGGACGTTGGTATAAAGATGGGAAGCTGGTAAGTCAACTATTCCAGGAGATTTAAAAATGTTAAAGGGCTACTGCCCTGAATATCTCTGTTCCCTATAGTAAAACCACAAAGGTCGATTTAATAAAAAAAAAAATATTATGGCACATTGCATAGCTTAATTTATCAAATGTTTTATGAATATTGGATCTTTTTTATCTGACAAGATAACCAATGAGGATGGGGTAATAATTATCAAAGATGGAGCCTGTCACACGTTGATAATTGATTGCTGTAAAAAAGATGATGGAGCTGTGTACCGCTTTGAAGCTGAAGGCCGTAAATCAGAAGCAACACTTAATATTCAAGGTCAGAATAAAAATGAATAACATGGTTTGGTATCAATTGAAAAAGCATCCATGGTGTAAAAGTGTTCAGGTTTTTGACAAAAACTTTTTTCCCCTCCAACATTTAAGACCCACCAAAAATCGACGCTGAGGCTCTAGGAAATTTCACAAAGCCAGTCATTATAAAGGCAGGTGAAAATGCAGAATGGAAGCTGCCATTCTCAGGTGGGGGACCAATGAATATACAATGGTACAAGGATGGCGACGAGCTTTTGCCTGCTCTCAATGTGAAGATTGAAATATCAGCTACTGAGAGCAGACTACACCTTGCTAAGTGCCAAAGGAAAGATGGTGGAGAGATCAAAATAAAAATAAAAAATGCATTTGGTACAACAGAAGCAATTTCCAAACTTATAGTACTGGGTGAGTTGACAATAGGAGACTTAAAGTTTGCCATTGTACTGTCTGTATGTAAGGAAATAAATGCTTTTTGCTGTTGGTATGATTTATTTTCATTTCGTCAACAGACAAACCCACACCACCACAAGGACCTGTGGACATTATGGAAAGTGCTGTAACATCTGTTGAGTTCAAATGGAAACTGCCAAAACATAGTGGTGGATGCCCGATCACAAGTTATGTCATAGAACGCCAACAAGTCGGGCGCAATAAATGGTCAAATCTCGGTGAGATCCCTGGCAGCAACCCAAGTTACAAAGATTCAGATGTGGACCCTGGAAGGAGATACTGCTACCGGATCAGAGCCAAGAATGCAGAAGGCGTCAGTGACTACCTGCAGACAGAGGACATACCTGCTGGTGTATTACGTGAGTCCTCAGCTGGAGTCTAATTTAGGCTTTGTAGTACAAGGGCTATATTTTTGCAGTTGTCCGATGAAATCCTCTTAACTTCTTGGGAAGCACGCAGAATAACCAGTGAGTGAAACAAGCAAAAAAAGACAAAATTGTTCCACAATGTACTCTGTGTGTATCACAGATATAGTTTTGCATTAAAGCACAGTGGTGAGTTGTGCAATTTGTTTTCATCAACATCAGAGCAACATAACAATTTGTTTTCGTCAACATCAGAGCAACATAACAATTTGTTTTCGTCAACATCAGAGCAACATAACAAAACATATATTATTAAAACATATTAGAATAGAGGGTTTCAAAGTGGGAGGTAGGCCTCATCAGGCAGCTCCAAACTGTTTTAGGGGATGCTCAGTGAATGGAAGTAAAAATTACAATAACATTAGTATTACACTACTTATTAAAAGGAGATCACACAGAATAGCCTAAATGTGGGTGATTTGGTTAAAGAGATAGTTCAGAGATACAGTAGTATTTGGGAATTTTCTGTTTTTGTCATTTTATTTTATTGCTTATTTTCCCAGAGTAAGAAACGAATGGCCTAAATGCCTTAGACCTTTTTTGTAATTATGTATTTGGTGTAGTCGGATGTTATGTCAAAGAGCATTCTCCTGGCTGAACTGTTCAGGGTCTATGGGATCAAATAACAATCATGATCCCATAGACATCCAGCAACTGAGCGAAAATTAGCAAGTAAACTAAGGGGAGGTGAGGGTTCGCCTTGATCCAAGTTTTGTCTGAGGGGAGGCCGACAGTCTCAGACTTTGAAAACCCCTAGAACAGAACAACACGATAGACAGAATGTCATGTTCTCCCCCACAGGTTATCCTGGACCCCCGACAGCACCTAAAGTGATCAGTGCCTTTAAAGACTGCATCAATCTGACATGGTGTCCTCCATGTGACACTGGAGGGACCAAAATAGTGGGATACAATTTGGAAAAGAACAAGAAAGGCACTAATTACTGGAGCCTCGTAAACCAAGGAGGGCCCATTACAGGTATTGTATGGCAAGCTGCAGGAATACACCGCAATTAGCTACAGTGTGAAAATGAATGCCTGCTATACATCCGCCTACATCAATGAACATTTCTAGTGATATGATAACCATTTCTTCCTTTTTCCACAGGCACAAAGTATGCAGTGAAAGATGTTTTTGAAGGGGCAGCATATGAATTTAGGGTGTCTGCTATCAACCTATCCGGTGCTGGAGATCCTAGTATTCCATGTGACACAGTAATTGCAAGAGATCCAATGAGTAAGCCAGTCCTACTGAATTCTTATATTCTACTGCAGTTGTCTTCACTAAAAAATTATGCAAGTCATGCTTCGTGGTGAAACAACATTTTGATATAATGCTGTCGGTAGCTCTTAGTGTAATATAAAAGTACAGCTATGCTGAAACAATTAATCGCCCATTACTGTAATTTCAGAACCCCCAGGCAAAGTCACAGACCTGAAATTAACATCCTCCAATTACACGACATTTTCACTGGCTTGGACTAAACCTAAGGAAATCAAAGGAGTAGAGGAGGAAGCCCAAGGGTACTACGTGGAGATCAGACCAATAGAGAGCCTTGAATGGACCCGCTGTAATGCCATCCCAATTACTCTAACTTCCTACACCGTGCTTGGCCTCAAGGCAATGGCCACATACTGGGTGAGAGTAATTGCCACCAATTATGGAGGTGATGGAGAACCTCAGGGCTTTGACAATTACATCATTGCCATGCCTCCTCCTGGTGAGAAAATTTGAAATTTAAATCATGAACATGACAGTTTCTTACAGTTAAACGATATGAACTTTGCCTCTGTTATTTCTAGAAATGTCCTGAACAAGTTCTATTCAGTATCTGCTAAATATGTAGTTTTTCCTTCCACAATACATCAGCACAGTGCACCATTTGTGCCCTATTGTAGGGTTGGGAGAAATAATCGATTCTTAGATGCATCGCGAGGCAGACGTGGAAGATTATAAATCGATTAACAAATGTCTAAAAATCTATTATTTAAATGTTAATTGATAACGTAATGTCGATGGAAGAAAAAAGGCGGAAGTCGCAGAAGTGCAGTGCACACAACAGAGACACCAGCAGTGTTCCCCTGTATCGGGCATACCACCACATCAAACTACTGTCATATTCTTTAATTATAATAAAAATATCCTGCTCAGAACTGCCGTTTCATAACATCATCATATTATTGTGACAGACTTAATCTCAGATGTTTGGCAACACCACCAAACTTAGCTAAAGTATTTCACTGTCTTTGCACACACATCACACATAGCGTCATTATTACCTTCACAGCTAAAATACAGCCAGATGTGACTGTTTTTACAGTCAGCCATAGTCAGTAATCAATCACAGGAAATGTAAAGCGCTGCAGCGGCTCACTTCAAAGAAGCTCCGTCACAGAGCTGTAGTGCAAGCATGACTTTGTCAGGCGGAAGGAAAAGTAATTCCTTTCAACAGAGTATAATTAGACCATCCTGGTGACAGTAAGATACTTATGATAAAACACACACTCACTTCAAATTACTGAGTTTAGATATCGATCCTTTTATATGAGTATCGATCCTAGAGCAGGAAACGTTGTTATCAGAAATAGATACTTTAGGATCGATCCGCACATCACTAATTAGCAGTAAGTTTCTGTCTGGTAATAAACGCGCAGCGTAGGTCGCTGTCTGTCCGTTAATAAAAGTATGTAGTTTTCCCAATGGCTGGAAAATTGAAGGCTGTTAGCGCTAGCTAACATTTCCCATTTCAACATTTCCCTGTACAAGGGCTTGCTCTCTGTCCCCCACACCAGACTCCGGACCTTTGGGGACAGAGCCTTCAGTGTCACAGTCCCCACCCTCTGAACTCATCCCCATCTGAAATGCTCTCTGTCTGGACACTTTCAAAAATCTATAAAAACCCAGCTCTTTACCAAGGCATTCAATCCTGAATGACTTTTTGTTGTTCAGTCACTGTAACTATTTGTAAAGCTCCCTTGGGTCCCATGAAAGGCGCTACAAATATTTATTTATTTATGTAACATTTGCTAAATTAGTAACAGAGTAATATTAATTATCAGCTGTATGTCATTACTAGCTAACCAAACCAGTCAAGTGCTGAGAAAATCTGGTACAAGCTTAGACTAAACTGGTGTACAGCTCTGTCCTGTATACATACTGTACATCCTGATAATTATTTTTCAGTTTTCAGGAGTCTGACAACTGGTTGTTAATGAAATGAAGGGACCATGGAGATGCGGTTAATAAAGTAAATTAGGGATGCAAACTAGTCCTTTTAATCTAATTAGGAGATGTTTCTTTTGGATTTTAATCCTCAAATTAAATGTTTTGTAATTATTCAGAGATTCTGTATAGAAAAAAAATAATACATCAAGATGCATCAATAATCGTTTTATAATCAAATAGTCTGGTGCCCAGAGATTCCCACCCCTACCCTATAGCTGTAAAAATGCTGCATAGCTATACACCAAGCTCTGTTTTTTTTTTTCTGTAGTGCCTTACAATATTTTGTTTAATATCCATGGCTACTGAAGTTAAAAAACAGAAATTGACATAGTGCAATATTAAAACAAAACTGTAACAGAGGTTAAGTGACTTGCTTGTGTTGTTTTTATGCTGCAAGTTTCATGCACATCACTGATGCAGGCTGCCTGTGTGGATGTACTGCCAGCTTCTGTTTACTTGGTCATGCCACCCTGTGGCTCTCACTTATAACACTGTGGGATAGAAATAGGCTCCAGTAAAACATCACTATGTGGTATTTTGAACAGTTGGTATACCCACAAAACAACAGATCACAAAAAAAAGGATAGGAAATGGACCTGGATATAAACAGAGAGTGATCAATTTTTAAAAATGTCTTTTGTTCTATTCTTGTATATCTCCTATTTATCTTTACAGGAGTAAAAGGTATAAAAAGAATTTAAACAAAGGCAATGGCTTTTCAGACAAAGGCAATGCCTTTTCAGAAAAAAAAACTACAGTTTGCTAACTTGTATAAATACAAGAATCTAATCATTTTATTCTAAATTTTACCTTTCCAGTAAGGCCAAAGTTTAAAGATCGCAACATGAAGAACTTTGTGGTGGTAAAATCTGGGAACACAGTCCGTCTGAACGTCAACTTTGAGGTACTGTACCAGAAGTTTCCCTCCTAAAGGGTTAATTTGAGAATGCTTTTTATTGTGTGAGCCTTTAAGGTCATTAATTATCAGAATTTTAATTAACAGATGAATCGTGATATTTTTCTTATCGTCTACAGGCATCCCCCCTGCCAGATATTTCTTGGCTAAAAGATGGTATTCCGGTGCCCAAACACGTAACAATTACCAACTCTGATAAAGGCTCTCAACTGTTAATCCCAACATCCGAGCGGCCTGACAGTGGCATCTACACCATCACTGTCAAGAACATGGTTGGCCAGGAGAGCTTTAATATTGAAATTAGAGTTACAGGTGAATCTCAGAGTGCCTTGCCATGAACTACTCCTTTTCTAATACATATTAAACACATGTTACAAACACAGTTAAGTTACAGAAACTGAATGTACACTCTTTGCTGGCCTCATTAGATGTTCTTTTCCAGCTATTTAGCAAACTAAACACTTGACCCAACACATTCCAGTTGGATTTACTGAATCCAAGTGTTAAACTGTAAAATACAGCTGGATACATATAATGTATGGACAGTACTTTTGTAACTAAGACCTCACTATTTTTGTGTAGTAAACAATAAGCCCTTTTTCGGGCAACGACATAGTGGTTATGGACAGTGTGCGATGTAGCTTTCGGGGGCAACACAGCTGAATCATTAATTGCTGCAAACATGTAGGCCTGTGCCTGACTGTAAAAGGCCTACCTGTCTTATTATTAGGCTATTCTTATCATATGCAGCCATTTTGCTACAATTATACTTCATCTGCGGCTGTGTTTGCGACCTGACCTCTCTTTTCTCCATGAGAAGTTGGGTGGTGCTCCGGACAGCCCCCAGCTTCAGTAGTACATGGATCATGCGTAATATTCATAAAGCCAGAGGGAACGATCACGAACCGTTCGTAGTGTGTCGGTGATCATTCCCTCTGGTTGGATGAATATTACGCATGACCCATGCACTACTGCAGCTGGGGGCTCTCCGCAAAAAAATCTAGAAAGTGGACTTTGACTATTTGAGAATATTTTGCTGCTCATACTGATTTCGAGGTCAAAATTAACTTCCATGCTCAAATAAAGATACTGTTTTCTGGGTTACATTTCCCGTGTTTTATACTTAAAACTAAATTTACTAAACCAAATGATATATTTCTATATTTCTGAATACAGTCCTTGCAGTACTGAACCTGGCCTTATCAAATCCCCAGCTGAAAGTTTCCAACCCTTTTTTCTCCACTCCGCTACAATAACTTGTCTAAAAAAGCAAACTAACCCCTATAGTATCAGTAATGTGTATCTCTATGCCTCTAAATCTGGTTGTAGATGATCCAAGGGCTCCAGGTCCAGTGGAGCTGGATCAGAACATCCCAGGAACAGTGACTCTGTCCTGGACTCCCTCTCCAGATGAGAGAAGGGATGACAGACTGCACTACATGGTATCCAAGCGGGACTCCTTCAAACGCACTTGGAGGACAGTGGCAGACAATCTCTTCAACAATAAGTTCACAGTTGTCAACATTCTGCCTGGACGAGAGTATTACTTCAGGGTATTTGCTAAAAATGACATGGGTCTTTCACCGCCTTCTGAATCCCCTGTGTTTAAAACCAAAAAGGAAAAAGGTTTGTGCCTCCAGTTAAGTCAAAAAGACATCCGAATCAACTCTCATTTTTCATTATACACCGCTACATTGTGGTTCTTATGTACATGTTTATTTTCCTGCAAATGCTGCTACAGTAGACCACTCCTCTTCTCAAATTTAAAACGAATGCTCACCAAACTGTTTAACTCTAGTTACCCCTTAGGTAAATACCCAACTTGTACTTTGCAACTTGTCTAATCCCACTGGTCACTTTTAAACTTTTAACTTCTTTTTTAGTGATGTCTGCGATCTCTGATGCTGTATGTACTTTGTTTGTGTGGTTATGTTTGTTTATCTTTCTCTCTGCTATACTCAGGTATATATAGTCAAGGTAGCAAAGGTATGTTGTGTGAACTAGACAACATACCTTTATTACAGCAGTGAGTTTTACAGTTCAGGAATGAAATTAACATCAAAGCAGTAGAGGCAGAGATGTCCTGACTTTTAGTCTCTAGTATGAGTCAAGCTCCAAAAACACTATCCTGCATTTCCCGTAATGCATTCAATGCTCACTGTCTCGATTATTTTCTAAACATTGGAAAGCTCATTCACAGCCACCGATGATATAGATACTAATTTATCTTCTGTTTTTCAGAAATACAAATGAAAGAAACACCGAACAATAAATTGCGCTGAGTTACGGAAGTTCGAGGACTAGCGGCTAGCAGCATGGATGTAATGTCAGGACTCTGACTAACAATAGATTTGTTACCGGAAATGTGTCATACAAGGCCACTAGGACAAACTTAATAATACTAGTAGTTAACTATTATAATTCTGTAAAACCCCAAACCTAATGCATGCCTTTGTGTTTCAGGAAAATTCAAAGTCAACACGCCAGTGACAAAACCCTTAGATTTCCAGTCACCTCCAGCATTTATTGTTCCCCTGAAGAGGCGTACTGCTCCACAGGGTTACGAGTGCTACATGAGCTGTGCAGTTAAGGGTGATCCAGCTCCACGCGTGACCTGGTACTGCAACAATATCAGCCTGAACACAAACACCAACTACCATATCACCAATGTATGTGGAGTCTGCTCCATGCTCATACTGAGGGTAGGGCCCAAAGACAACGGGGAATACAAAGTCATTATTGAGAACAAACTGGGGAGAGCGGAGTCCTCAATGACACTCAGTGTCAGAGGTATTAACACACAAGAATTGGACATTTTTCCATAAAGAGACTGACTGATGAAACATTTGAGTGTACAGTATGTAGCCTTGATAAAACAAACTGAGAGTCTCAATATGTTTCTTTACAGAGTGAAGAGGAGTTGCAGCTGCTGGACAGAAGCTGAACAAACAGATTATTTATTGTGTTCTAAATGAATTACAATAAATTTTGTGATGACTTGTATTCATTTTAAGTTACTCCATTTCCCACTAGTGTGATGCGCCACTATTTAAACAATTAACTTTAGAAAGCTCCATGAATTGCATCTTATGAAGATATTGTTATATGCTGTAGGCCGACTATTAAACTTTGGAGACATTTCATCATCCTGCTTCTATTTACTGAAAATGTGGTCAAATACACTGCAAAATAGCACACATTATTTTGTTTTCTACTGTGTTCAATGATTTACAATTATATGGAACAGTCCAACTTTAAACACTTATATCATTATTTATTTGCATAGCCCTAAACAATACTAGCGATATGGGGCAATGTTTTTATCAACAGAACGCGGTTTTGTTTGTATCTCATGCATGAGTACACATGTGTAACACACAGGCACTTATTGTATTGTTGCACGAGATTAAGTCCAGGATATTGTAAATTGCTGTAAAGTCTTACACATTAAGACAGAGAATGCACTGTTTGATCTTGATATCGGTAAGGAAGTGAGATACATTTTCATTAAGAAATCAGACAGCTTTCTATAAAAGGGAATGTTTAGTGTGTTAAATGAAAGTTTAACAATTATCCTTCAAATAGTACATGTGGCACTAGTTTTACCTACTGTTTTAGTTCTGGGGAAGGGACAAGGGGCATCATAAAAGAGATACCCTGTGAATACTTTGTGTCTGTGTGCTATGTACAGATTTTGCACAACTGGTTTGAAAATGACATCATGACAACTTGGTTGCTTCGTTACCAAGTCGAAAATCAAAAGTTACCAAGACAAAAATTCTGCATGTCGGTACTGGTTTTTCTAGCTACATTTGGTACCGTACGTAATGACAAACCAACACGCTTAAGATTAAGACAAGTGCAGCTGCAGCAACAGCTATGCCTGGACTCTTGAAAAGAAAAAAGTCGTGTGTAGAACATCTATACATACATATATATATATATTTTTTTTTTTACAGTTATTGAGTTATACGTAATAATTTATTAAAGGAGTGTATGTTGCAATACATGTGATTTTTTTATTTGTTTTTTAATGTGGTATCAAATTTGGTATCAAGAATTTTCCCTGGTATTGGTATCGACTAATACATTTCTGGTATCTTGAGTGACAACCCAGTTCCACAAGGTGCTTGGCATGAGAATGGCACCAAAAGTAGGAAGTAAATATGTAATTTAATTTTGTAAGAGCGCATTAGTATTGGCTGTAAAATGTGGTTAAATTGCCTAACTCCTTTCAGAGTGTTGAAATGAGTCAGCAGCATTATAATGTTGAAGCTGCAACCTGGTGTGACCAAATACATAAATACATGATGTGCTGTTGAGCAGTAAAGTGGAGTAAATATTTTCCCTCTGAAATGCAGTGGAGTAGAAGTAAAAAAACTGTAGGCCTACTTAGGAAATCAAAGTTATGAAAGATGGGCTTTTACATCTAGTAGCCTGTTTGGAATCTGTGGATCTGAGCACTGCTTCCACGCACCCCACCCCGGCAGTTGCTTTGAGGGGTCCAAAGACTGACTAAGTCAAATAAACTCGCAGAATCAACTTGATACCTTAGCAAAATCTGACGAGAATCCACTTCACTGTAGACGCATTGCTTTTCAAGTCCATCCAGTCCCTCTCTTGCTGCCGTGGCCAGGCAGAAGTCAAAGAACCGCAACAAGAAGACACTTATATGCTGTTGGAGTAGTCCGTGCCACCACAGTCCAAAAGTTGGATAAACTCATGTGCTTCTACAGCTTTGTTGTTCATCATCTTCACTGTCGGGCCTGCTGGGGTGTTGTTGTTTTTTAGAAAGCAGCACAGCCTCGACCAAACTGTCACTGTCTTTTACAACAATGCAAAGGAGAATCACAAACCTCCAGCAGGTGAGGCACAGGTAACAAAACTAGCTAACAGACTTTCTCACACGTGTTATTAGGCTGGTCACTTCTTGTAAAACATGAATATTTTCATATTGTCTTTTGTATTCCTGTAGTAAGGTGAAATTAATTCGATAAACAGTTTTTACCGACGAAATTTCGGCTTTTCACAGCGTGATCTGTCGTAAAACTGTCGTTAAGCTAGTTAATGAGAAAGTGATAAACCGGAAATTGGTGATTTTCCCTCTATAAAATAAACGTAGTACGTTTGTATTTTCTAAGAGTGAATATTAACAAGTTAAAAAAAACAATTAGGAATGTGTGGAACAAAGGCCTTTTCAGTTGTGGTTTGTTCAGTTTATAGGATAAAATTAATGAAAGTCAAGTGAAGTTTATTTTGAAAAGTTAAATCTGTAAGACATGTGGCCGACATGACACCAATAGCAACACCGGTTACTATTTTTAGCACGTCCTGACCTGCAGTTTCATGGTCACATTTCAAGTTACATTCACAGCTCCAACAGTTATTGTGAAGTATTGCTAGATATCTTTCATCATTATCACTAGTAATTGCTGCTAGTTGCTCTGTCATATATCATTTTGTATCCCAGTATCAATATGACATAGTAAATGTTCTGGAAAATCAATTGAGAAACGTTTTGAAATGTGTGTGTTAGGCTTATCCAGGAAATTAAATAACTAACAAATCAAGGTACTTCATCAAATTGATGCTAAAATAATGTAAAAATCCACTATGCCTAGAGAGCCCTGCTCAGTGATTTGTAACACTGCCCACAATACACACAGAGATATTAAAGAGATCATAGTAAACAATATTTAAATTTCACTGACATTTGAGAAATATATTGTCTCGTTGTAGGCTCTATTGTTATGTCACATGACCCTACTTGCTGCAGCAATATGACAGCTCTGTCCGACATAAATCGATGACAAGATCAGATTTCAAATGTTTGAACCGTCAAAACACATTGCTAAATTATTCTGATTGTGACTGAGTATCTGACTGATACAGGTTTGGGTGTGGAGGTTAGGATCTTTGCCCTGGAGGAGGCTCAGGAGAGGACTGAGGCCGCCCTGGCCACATCAGAGAAGTTGAATGACCTCTACTCGCAGCTTTTGGACCTTCATGATAAGATGGACACCCGAATGGCTGAGCTAAATCAGGTCACCTTCTCTGTCACAACTCTCAAGGCCCATGTTCTAGAACCAGAGTGGGGAGTTTGACACCGTGAAGGAGAGCGTAGTGGCCGGTATGAGCTCCAGCTCTGCACTGGCTGAAAATCTGGCTGGGCTGAACAATGCTGTGGTATGCTCCAGAGTTGATGAGCAGGTGGCGTCAGTGGAGACTCCTAATGTACAGTTAGAGGGACAAACATCAGAGCTGGACATGCTGAAAGAGTCTTTGCTCCTTAATAATGTTGCAATTTATGCTAACAACCAGTCGGTGGTTTCCGTAAAGTGAACTCAGTTTGATTTCACAGTGTGTGTGTGTGTGTGTGTGTTTCAGGGAGCTTGTTGAAGTTAAGCAGACCAAGCATGCCCAGGCTTTACAAAAGTTGGTCAGGTCCGTGCAGATGACTCTGGATGAGCAGTTTTTGCTGGGGAGACAGCAGAAGAGGAGGTTGCAGAAGGGACTGTAGATTATCATGTTTTGGATGAGCCTTTGGAAGAGGAGGTATCTGAAGAAGTTATGGGAAGCTGAATTAAATGATGAGGCCTTCCCGGGCGAAAATGAGGAGGACGATTAGTTATACTTGAAATGCTCCAGTAGATGGAACTGTAAATCATTAATTCCAAGGACTGTTTTTTCTGTCTGACATACAGATTGTGTCGGGTGAGCTGTCCGTCACTGAAAAACATGAAAAACTTTCTAGAACTTTCATAAATACCTAATTCCAGCCTTGTTATTTAGGGTTTTACTTTTCTTCAGCATACATATGGTCTCGTTAGAAATTACAAGAAAGTCTCAACAGCAAGAAGTGATATATGATTGCTGTTGCTTGTTCAATTTCAAATATGTAGTCAAGAGAAACATGTTAAGGATTGAAAGAAACAATTAAAGTCAAATAAAGAAAGGGTTCCTGAAAATGGCTGTACATATCAGAACAATGTGTTGCTGAGAATGAAATGGTGATGGAAATGACAATTTATGTAAAGTATTTAGTATAAAATTGTTTATTTGCAATGTGAAAGAGAAAATGAATGGGACTGTATTTATAGCTTGTACTTTAACACAAGTACATATCTAGTGCCTCTCACTGTGAAGTTATTTATGGTACAAGTGTGCATTCTGTACATGTGAGCACATATGATTCCATTGGTACATACTGTTCTCTTATCATGAAGCTCCCTTCTGAAAAGGGTACTAATTTCTGCCAGCAGGTGGTGCCTGATTACTACCATAATGATGGAAGATAATCAACAAATGCGTGTAAGGGAACCCAAAAACGTTCTGCCTAAAGAGGGGATCTATGAGTGTCTCATAATGTTTGTCTTGGATGTAAAATGGGAATTTTAATTTACAACTTGCACCGTTTAGCTTCCTAGGTTAGCCTTCTCTGTTTTGTAGACTACAGTTAGCACTCTATGACATCCTGTCTGAACTTAGACTGACTGAAAAGCAACAGCAGGTTGTGTGATGTACTGAATAAAGTTAGACACTCTAACGTGGCAACTCTGCCCAGAGACCAATTGACCTGTTAATAGGGATTTTTATGACAGTGGGAGCAATTACATGAACTTCTCAGCATAAAAAAACAAAGGGGGAGTGTGATGGCCAGGTAGAAACAAGATTACAGATATGTTTAATGTCGAACAGTTCTCAGATGTCATTGGGCAAGGGTTAAGAAGCAATATTAAACTCATCATTGTTATATATTTTACTAGTACATCCAGTAGCTAGATGGATTGATCAAGATATGGGCAAGAAATTGTCAGGAGTCAACAAGAACGAAAAAAAACCTCCCTCTATCCAAAAAACGACAATGTGGAGGGATTGCTATTGGAGCACCACATGCACTCATCAGAATCACTGTAAGAATAGAAAATTGTGAAATTACTTGTCTTATTTAAATCTGTGATTACATTACAGCCAAATCTGACTCAGACTGGAATTAATTAGAAACAAACTAAAAACTGAGCTGTAAAATTAAGCACCTGGTGTTTATCACCACCTGAGATCACTAACACTTGTCATCCTTCAAACATTCAGATTATCTAAGATGTATTTTTAACCCATACCAAATATTTTGTGTTAAAGCTTTCAGCGTATTTGCTATGAAATATATTTATCACATTCCATAAGCATTTACAACATGAGTAACACACAGATAGCGCCATTTAGAGTCCCTTTTTAGCAGAATAAATTGCAACTGTGCCAAAATAATGAATGCAACTGTGTCATGGAACATACTCAGAAAGGTATGTAAGCTAGTCTTAACTGTCAAGCCTCTAGCTTGATTAAATTCAAGAGCTCTAAGAACAGATCTAAATTGTAAATTCACAGTATGTATTTGAAATGTTACTTCTACTTTCAGATGCAATTTTTAACAGCCGTGTTTCCCCTTTGTAAAAAAAAGAAAAAAGAAGTATGATAAATCACACTTATTTTTAATGCACAGGGAAGTACAACCATAATAAGCAAACTTTCATGTGTAAAATACAGTACTAAGATGAAAATTAAAAACACACATAATGTAAACAATTTCACATTTACATCTATAGAAAGTACCCCTAAGACACCATTAATGAGACTAATGATGCTTTACTTTTTGCTGAATGACTCTGAGTCCCTTGAGAGCCCTTGTGAACAATATTGCTGTCAGATCCTTGTGTCCACACATGCAGGCTACAGCCCGCCTACTACCCAGTCCCACCACTTCCTCCACAGCTCTCACACTTGTGCAGTTCTTTCACTCTCATTAGATATTCTCACCATCACATAAAGATCACACTTTAGTTGCTCACTTTAACTAAGGAAACAGCTACATCAGAATTTCATAGCAGTGGATAATAAAAACAACTCTCTACATCTTCTTAGTTTAAGAAGAACTTATATTTAAAAAAAAACTTTTTGGCAGTACTTTGGACCATAGTACAGCTGTATGCAGAGGCCAGCAGCTCAGGAGCGATGTCATCTCTACTTTCTCACAACAAAGATCAGCCACGCATCAGAAAGTCGCTCTCTGACTCTTCTCCAACTTCATCCGCTGCCACCACCAAGAGCCTGAGGGTAAGACCTAATTGTGTTCAATATTTTCAGTGTCTGAAATGCCATGGCTGACATAATGTAAACACTAACATTTAAGTTCAGTCATTGTCAAACAAATGTCTCTCTAAAAAACCACAGAGGTATGCCTGTGTGTTTGTACACCTTGCCATAGAATCTTGACATGCCATCCATAATTCAGTCTGTGTAGCCATAAATGACCTCTTACTGCCTCATTAGAAATGAACTTGAACGCTGTTTATACATGACAGCTGTTTGCTAAATATTTTTATAATTTCTTGTAATCCACTTTACAATGTCTATGGCACTATCACTATTGCAATATTTTCCTTTATATTATCAAGAGAAAATATGGAAAAGCTAAATTTCTGAATAGACTGTGTAGTCAGTGACCATTTAAGTGTTCCTGTGAAGCTATGATATCATGTTGTGCATTTAATTTGGTACTTTAATTGAAAATGAATGATGTACAAGCAATTAGAGATAGTGCCTGTGTTGTTTCATTGTGTCAATTTGTGTATTATTATCAGTGTATTATTTATCCCATTGTGCACTATACATGCTCATTTGAATGGGACATGTTCTTTCTACAACTTTAAACTTCACAAACATATTAATGGGTTAGTTTATAAGGTGATTTTTTTATGTGTTTGTGATTACTTTCTTGGCCATTGTGGTTACATGGTACACATCTTAGAACCTATAGGCCACGTGACACCCTAGATCATTTTAATCTCTCATAGCACGTTGACATGCTTCTAAAGGCTCCTAATAACTCACATAAACTTTAAAAACACATTTGCAAGTTGATGTGCATGAGCATGGAGGAACAAAACTTGTAAGTGAAACCAAGGCAAAGTTGTAATGAGCAATTCATCTTATCTATTTATGTAAACTAAGAATTCCTCTGGGAAGGATAAATGGAGAGACACAGAGAGAGGGATACAGGAAGAGAGTATGAAGAGAGAGAGAGAGAGAAAGAGAGAAAGCAGGGGGTGAAAGACAGGATGACAGGGAACAGAAAGAAGGCGGGTAGAGTGCTTATGGCCTGTGGGAACTCAGACAGAGTATTTATGGATGTTTATCTCTCTGCTAGTCCTACGGGAAGCTCACATTTTCCATTTGGGAATAGCTGGTCAGCAGGCAAGAAGTTGTTCATGGGATCTGGAAAGGCTGGAGGACAGCTTAGTGACAGAGACACTCACATACATGGGATAAAGTGTCACAAAAGCCTATGTTTCCATTAGCATCTGTTTATATGTGACAGTGCTTTAATCTAAACCAGAGCTTTTTCCATGTGTGCATACTGTATATCATTAATGACCGTTTACCAAGCATATCCAAGTGTCCAGGGACAGCCTTAAAGGGGCTGACATCAGAGTCTGGTGAAGATCCAGAGATCTTGTAAACGTCTGAGCAGAGGCGTATCACTGTGTTTACATGTAGTGTCTGTAACATAAAGCCCTGTTTCTTTTTTACAAGAATCCACTTGCCATGATTTAGTTAGACATGTAACTGTTTAAGCAGTGGTCACCAGTCTTAGTTTATTTGCCTGTCATAATACGTCTCTCTATGTCTAAAAGAATAAAGAACAATGCAAGATGGAACTGCATGTAAAAGTTATGTCAGCAGGAATCCAGTGCATCTATATTTATCTGATATATGCAGTAGTGATTGCTACAGGTGATGTTGATTGTGAGCATTGGTAAAGGTAATACAATTGAAAGAGCAAGTCATATTAGCTTTCCTAGTAGGAGAGGATGGGTTCAGAGAAGATACATGGCAACATTGTGATTTCTGTCTACTATGGGTACTGTTTTATATCTCGTCTTAGTGCCATTTTATCTTTTATGTGAAGAACTTTGAGCTGTCTTGTTGTTGAAAAGTGCCATAGAAAGGTCTAAGAGTGGCTTTGTGAGCATGCTAACATGCAAACATGCTGATACTAAGTTGGTTGTAAACACAAAGTACAGCTGAGCTGATAGGAAAGCAATTTGTTTTGCAGGTATTTGGTCATAAACTAAAGTATTATACAAAATAAGATTTTAACCTGATGATGGCACTAGATAAAAAGTCATGGGATCACCAAAGTTTCTACAATTGAATTTATATAATTGTGCATATGTACAGATGGGTGACATATTAATGGAAAAATATAAATAATTGATTGAGGAAACAACAAACACAGATGTTTCCACACAGGGGGCCTGGGCCCATTGAATAGTTTGCTGAGTATTTAAAATTATTGAAATCATATACTTTGGCCTTCACAGTCACCAGATATCAACCAAATTGAACATTTGCATCAGTGTGTCAGACAGCACTCTCCACATCATCATCATCATCATCATCATCATCATCATCATCATCATCATCATCACAAGCACAACTAAATAAGATAATATATTTTGGAAAAATAGTGTTCATCCTCCAATAGATACCCAGAGACAATGTATGCAACGGAGCATTGAAGCTGTTCTGGCATGTCATGGTGGGCCATTACCTTACTAAGACACTTTCTGTTGTGTTTTTTTATTTGTCACCTATCTGCAAATTAAATGGAGGTGCATATTACACTAACTGGTGGTGTAAGAATGAAACCTTTGTCCCTCACTCATAGTCAAACAAGTGGTGTTGAATTATGCTACATTTTCTCATCTTTCAATGGCAAGTTAGTTTTTAATTGTTTAGCTTCTGTTAAGACTCTGCTCTGCCGTTTAAAAATCAAGGAAGCCAAATCACCCTCCCAACTTCAGTTATACATGTAACTGTAGGCAATAATGAACAAATTATGAAAGTCACTGCCAGAGCTATTGCCTTTTTTGGATGTGTTTAGTTATCTGTGCTAGGGATAATTTCCTCTCGACTTCTTCAACTTGGCTTGGTATTTCAGAATCTCATAAACCTTTTCTTGGAAAACTGAAAAAAAGTATTTCATGAGGAATTCCTGGTAATGTCACTTCAAAAAATCACTGAGCTTTGCTTGAATGTAGGTGCACTGATAATGACTGTACTTGTTGACATTGTACATGTAATAAAACATGTCCTGTGTGCATGTCAACTGCATGGTTACAATATTATGCAGACGAAATGGTCAACATGGTACAAATATTTGATTTCACGTTGTCAAACAAATGATGAAGTCAAGCTTTGTGATGTCATTATTTGTGCAGTAATGAGCAGCTACTTAAATAGAGGATAGTTCATGATGGGGCTGAATGACTTGTTTATGCCGTATAAGGTTAATAAGGTACAATCAGGAATGTCCTGACACAAACCTGACATTGGCGTTGTTGTTGCATTTTTTATTTTGGTCAGTTCTAAAACATTTCCCCTCTATTTCAGCATGAGAGACTGTCTAGGTAAGAACCCTCTAATTTAATTCACACCATTAATAAATACAGAAGAGATTCAATTATCTCCTGAGAGAATGACAAATAAACAGGAATCGATCAGTGACTCATGAGAGTAAGTGAGCTAAACCTCAGTTGTACTTAATGCCTCTCTTATGTTATCAGATTAAGCTCATCTGGATCCTCTGATGTCTCCAGTGACACATCAACAAACCACGCCGAGTCCTATGTTTTACGGTGGGAGAACAGACTGTCTGCAAGGAAAAAGGCAGAAGAGATGGCTAACAATGACTATAAAAAGGCAGGTGATGCAGTTTGCGTGTTGATAATATTTCGGGCGACTGTTGTGTGCTCGAGTAACAAAGGAACTATTTGATGAGGCAGCGTTTCATTCAACCAATTATTTTCAGCACAGGGCATCATGGTGTTTAACAGAGTGGATAAAATGACATCCAATATATACGCAACAAGATGGCTGGACCTTTGTCAATTATCCAATGAAAATTAGACACATATATCCATGCTCCACATGGCTAACACAGAAATGTCAAAAAAAGTGTAACAAAAATTTACATAAAAAGTGTAGCAGGAATGATTAATCAGTTGGTCAACAGAAAATTGGCAACTACTTTGATAAGTGATAAGAAAAAAATATTGATACATTCTCTACTTTGTTTGTAAATTCAGTATCTTTGGTTTTTATGACTCAATGTGAGGGCATCTTGGAAAATGTGATGCACTTTCACCATTTTTTAAATATTTTATAGACAAAGGGATTACATGCTAGCGACTCTGTGAGGCTGTACTCAGGCACAGTAGTGTTTTGTGCTACATGCGAACATTAGCATGCTAACATGCTTACAATGATAATGCAAAGATGCTAACATTTGGCAGGTATCTTGTTTAGCAAGCTACCATTTGCTAATAAGCATCAAACAAAGCCCACTCAAAGCAAAGCTGGCACTCATAATTCAAGGTCATTATTTTAAACCAAAGTAATGGACAAATTGAAATTTTGACCTCATGATGTTGCTACAGAAAAAATCAGACTGTGACCAAAGTGATTACAATTCCTCCTGAGCGGAACATGAATGGCACACTTTGGTGTCAACCCAGCCAGTAGATGTTGATATATTTCACTGTATAAGTGACCTGTTTGTGGCAATGGATAAAATGTCAGGGTATAACCAAAGTAATTAGTATTCATGATCAGTGCAGCATGGATAGCCTATATGTACCAAAATTCATAGCAGTCAATGTTGAGATATTTTACTAAGAACCAAAAATGTCAACTTCATGTCATGATCAATTATGAAAACAATCATTGCTTACTAAACAGTTAAAACTGCTACTCAAACAGACAATGTGGGTTTTGTTGTCAATGTTTTTTAGTCTGTGTGCTGTGAAAACAATCAAACACTCCTTTGGAAATCTTAACAAGTGTGTGTTTTGTAGATGTATGAAAAGGCGCTGGCCACCAATCAAAGGCTCAAGTCCAGGCTGGAAACAAGTAAACAGGAACTTGCCATGATTCAGGATCAACTGCAGAGAACACAGGTACTGTATATACAGTAGTCAGCTGTTAATGTTCCCAATCCAGATTAATGAGTGTGAAAGAACCGAAGGAAATGGTTGCTGAAAAAGTACCTAAAAGTTTCTTCAAGTTATAATTGAAATCATTCAGATTTTTCTTGTCAGTACACACAGATATGTCTTCCATATGATATATCATTCTTATGATGACATCAGGTAATACTGTTACATGAAAGATAGCAGTTATAGGAAGCTGCAATGTAATTACTGTAGGGTGCCAGGTTTGAATTTTGGAATAATAACAGTGAGCTGCTTTAGAGTTTCTGTGTGCTACTGTGTGTATATTAGATATTTTACATCAGAAACATGTGCTCACTGTTATGAAAATGCTGCATCCAGTTTCAGGGCTTTGTACTATCATCATTTTCGTAATAACCTTTCATTGTTGTAGAAAGGAAGACAGGAAGATTGTAGCTCCAACATGCTTGAGACAGAAAAAAAGGTATATACCCACTATTATACCAATAATAAATTAATAAACATGTTTTTATTCTGCATTTTGATTTATCTTGTTTGGCTCATCTTAATTATTTTTGTGTTGAATGTTCTTCTTCATAGGAAAGCTGGAGTCTAAAAAATAAGATATCAGATATGGAAGAACAGTTGAAGGTAATTCAAATATATTACACATATCTAAATGTCCTAAACATTTGTTATTTAATATTCATGTCATTGTTTTTCACATTCACTCCCCTTTAAAAATATCAGTAGTTAACAATATAGCAGGATCTCTTACCCAGGAGAGAGTTAAGCTTATTTGACATGAGGAAAACAATGAACAATCAAATCCAAACAGTGTAAAGTGTCTGTGGGACTTGGAGCCGCAGTGTTAGCTGCTCTGTCTACAGTGGTTTTAGCTGACATCATTTGTCACCATTATGCTCTGCTGGCTGTGGAATGTGTGAGCACTTTGACACTGCAGTGAGTGAGCCATCAGTATTCATCTGCAATCCAATGTTCACAAATGTCTGCTGTGTTATGCCCCAGAGGATACACACAAAAACCTGCTGTTATCTGTGAATGAGATGTCTAAACAAACATGAGATGCTGGTCTGAAAATAGACATTCACAACAGAGAAGCACTGCTGCTTGTATTTAAATGAGCAAATCTGTGTGTCACTGAATGCAAGCGTACACGATAATGTGTGTTTGTACAGGTGTAATTGTATTTGTTTTATTGTAATACATTGCCCAGATTCATTCAGATCAGATAACCCTTTTTTGTGAAGCTAATACTGGACTAGTCAGCAGAAAGTAGAAATGTTAAAAAGTGTGCCTGTGTTTAAGTTCACTTTGGACCAGAGCCTTAGCTTACCTTAACTTTGTATCCCGACAGTGACTCAGTGTGAGATGATTTTGGCACAGCCTCAAAATCCTTAAGTTACTGCCTTTTTAGTACACAATCCTCTCTTCTTATCACTATCACTCCACAGCAGATCAACTTTTTTCTGCCTAGGACTGATGAAGCCCCTTTAGCATGCATATTTGTTTGAATAGAGGACTGAGAATTTTATCCTTCATCTCTTCCACTGGAGACACATCAGGAGAGAATCCTCTTTATAGCCTGTATGGACAGAATTTGATTACAGCAACTAATAACTCTTACATATTACAATTTTCTATTTTGAGATAGACTTGAAAAACTGTGAGCTGTGGGTGTGCTGGACATGCAAAAGCATGCCTTTGTTTTGAAGCAGTAGCGTTACATGTTTGTCATGAGTGTTCTGTTGGGCCCCAACTCTATTAACTAAATTTTGATGTGATGGAGGCTGAAAAGGTTGCTAGAATTGCCAGGAATCAAAAACAGATCTTTGTGCATGGCATTTGAAAATACTACCAATATATGAATTCACTTTAAAACGACAAGTACAATCTGCAAAATTAGCTGTACAGTTACAATTACCCCACAGCATGTAAAGTAGACCTATAGTGAATGTATATTTAATGTTGTACTATTATGATGAGACATATATTCTAACCAGTACAATGATCCTACCAGGTTATGAGCAACATGTAATTTTACATGTGTGCCCACTTTGGTTGTCTCATGCTCTTTCTTCAGGTTAAAGCAGAGCTTAAAATGGAGAACCAGAGACTGAAGGATGAGAATGGAGCTTTAATCCGGGTCATCACTAAACTATCCAAGTGAGCCAGGAAGCAGGAAGGATGAGAAGAAGAGGGATGGATACCAGAAGTCATACCTGCATTCTTCCTACATTCATCTTTTGCCCAGAAAGAATGTATGTACATAGTTCTCCAGTAATTTTGGAAACTACAAACATTTACAGGGATAAAGACACATTTCACATCAGCTACGAAATCTTCCTGTTACTTCCTGTTACTTTACTGGATCTACAGAAGTAAGACATTCCCAGACAAAAAATACACTAAATTAAAATTCATATTGTATATTCACAAGATATTTCTACATAAAGGCAAATACCACTACGGCCATGTTGTGTGTTTTTCTTCACTGTGTACATGAACAAATTGTCCAGGTGTAAACTATTTATGCATAATCATATCAACACTATCCCTGCATACATAAATGGACAAACTATTACAGGTATTTCCACGGAGGCATTACCATGGAAACTGCAGTATTTTGTCCATTCCATATGCAGACCTTGAAAATCTTCTCTAAGCTATCAGGAACAGCAGATGATGGATGAGCTACATTTCCCCAGGAACGTGGGAGCGTCATCTCTGATTTAAGAGCTTCACCCTGAAGAATGATGTCGCCTATGACAGGCTTTTCCTCTTAACCTGCACAAAAACATTTCACAAGTTCAAATTTTGCACTAAAGCAAAATCAGACTTGCATGTAAAATATGAATCAATACATGGTGAGTGGAGAGGTTTCATTCTCTTTTTTAAACAAGTAATCATAATTGTCTAAACAATCTCCCCTCAATGTCCATTTAATTGCTCTTCTGAAGCTTTCAGTCACATAAAGATCACATAAAGATCACAATCTTTATCAGCAGATTGTTAGATTGGCCAATCCCAATGTCGAACTGAACTTTGAGCCCCATCTGTTAAGTCAACTGGAATCAGAAGTACTTAAAGTGCTCAAACAAAGGACATTTGAATAATTCCATGACAACTGTCCAAACAAAGATCATCATCAAGCTCCTATTTTTCTCATGCTGTGTATGATGCCACCCACTGACCATGAGTGGAACAGCATCCTCTGATTCCATTACACACCACACAGGACAAGGCTACTTAAAATGCCTTTATTTCCTATGATTACATTTTGACAACGTACAGATATGTCCTGAACACATCCCATATTTTGGTTCCCTTGAGTACTTCAGTTCTACATAGAGTGATATATGAGTACAAGTCTTTTGGTCTTTTTGTTCCCCTATTTTGCTGGAAAACATGGATTTTGTACGGAAATAAATCATGCAGTTCACAAAAAGGCACAACTATTGACACACCTCTACAACAAGACAAAAACAAGAGGAGTCAAGAAAGGCGTTCAAGCATTTCCCTTGTCTATGTTGCTCAGAAAGTGAATATGATGGCATAGGATCCTGTATCATGGCTATGTTCACATAAGAGGACTAAAGAGGAACCATTGTTGAAGCAGCAGGTTGGCAGTATTGCATTGCGAATGTTGTTTTGCACTATTTGGGTCTGCTTTGTGCTCAAGATAGCTTGTGAGACCCAGGAAGACGGGGATTTTGTTGCCTGCATTGCAGAAAAGTGACATAATATAGGCCATTAACACCAATAAACAAATACACGCTCTATTGGTCCTACTGCAAATACACAAAAAAGCAGACAGAATCTGATGGCAGGTCATATACATACATGAGAGTGAGTTAATTAAATGACCCTAGGACAGACTGACCTGACACACATTGTAGAAAAGGGTGTAATGTTCTGCTCCTCCACAATGAGATCTGAACTTAAATTTGACATTGTGGAATTGAGTCTTCAGAAAAGATTCGATATTAAAAATGCAAAATGTTTCTGGTATGTATTTCTCTCAGGCCCTTGAACATAGAGAGTTAGCTACATTATACTCTAAAAGATGGACTGTTGTGAAGACTAGGATTGTTCATCTTCATGCAGTGTATGGTGTAAATAAAGGTTTCTCTAATAGTAAATGACAGTGACAGGGTAAACAAATCCCCACATTACAAATGGCTTGATAGACACAGCATCGATATCTCAGAGCATGCACAAGTGACACAACACCAGCTCATCCCATTGCAATCCATTAGTTAAACTGTGTGTTCATTCGAGAAAGTGACATTTGTAATGAAAACATTATTAATTGCTTAGTTAGTTGACTGGAGCTACTTCAGAGTACTGCATCAATAAGATGCAGTAATAACATTTCACAGGACTAATTCAGCACAGAAACAATATTTTTTAAAAACTATACAGTGAAATTAATTAATTAATCTATTTCTATGCAAATTACTGGCTTCATTAATTTCTTATGTCTGTAAAAAGTATAATCAGACATATGTGAGCAGGTTTATTTGAAAAGCAATAAGATGACATGGTACAATTTAATGAGGTATGGAAGGAAAAAGGGGCTACAAGTCGATTAATTTGCCCACTGATTCTACATTTAATAAACTAAGACTTGACACCCATCTGGCAGGATTAAATGAAGGAAACACTTATGGTTCACTAAGATAGAAAATCAAGGAGCTGACAAATATTCTCCTTTTCTTCTTCTTCTATTTTTTAAAAATATATATACAGTTTTCTGGTCAGCGACCAACACACACTGTGTGCAAGCAGAAATGAAGAATAATTACATGACTTGTAACCCAAGCATACTGTAACACTAAATTTAGGACAGAGGACACATACAAACAATGACAGAAAACCAGACAATCATGCGGGCATTGTGACAAACTAAGTCGATTTTTACACATGAGAAACCCTGCTTTAATTCCACGTGTTAAAGGAGCCCATGAACCCTAATGTGGAAAGACATACATTCAGTCCCATTCAGCAAAAATACATACACTTTGACAGTCAGTGCATACTCTTTTTTTTACTCTGTTTTATTATCAAAAATGACACAGAACACAAACACACATACACAATATAATTATGGTTCCTCTTTAAAACATGCTACTATTTACATCATCTTGTAAATACATGCTGTAGCGTATTAACATTTGCAGATTTGCGCGATGCATAATATTAACAATAGGAAGAAGTAGTATTGTGAATGGACCAATCTGTGTGCTGCTGTACACCCACCTGCAGAATTATTTCACTTCTAGTGAAAATATGGCCTTCTATGTAGTAAGACTGGGCTGTAATAATATGAATTTTGTACACAACTTAATGCATAATTCTAAAGTGAACCACTACTGAATACTTAATGTTAACATTCAGATATTGAAACTGTAGAATTCAAGTATTTTACTTTGGCAAGAATATTTTTGAATTTATATGGTTTTACTTCCCCTCTCTGATGTTTCCAGAAGGTCATTTCAAGTTGAGCAATTTTGAAAACTGGATTTTGTTTTTTCATTAATTTCTTCAAATTCTGACTGACTGAATTCTAATTTCTCTTTGGTGAAATTGGCTGACAGAGTTTCCCAACCTTTCATGTCGGATGTATCCTCACAGCTCAAGTGGTACCTCTTCACTGACACCAATCGTCATGATCCAAAAAGTGTCGTGGGTGGGAGTCACTGCTGCAGAACAGAGGTCTGATCATTTCATTCTGGCTTGGTTTGTCAACCTTGGTAGCCTGAATTGACTGAATATTCAAGACTGAATATTTCATCCTGAATTGACTTGGATTTTTAGATCCAAAATGACCAACTGAATTTGAAAATAGTTTCATATAAAAACCATCAAATCAGTTTTTGAAATGTCAGATAGGGAATTAAAACCACATGAATTTAGATAAATAGCTCAAACAAGTAAAATATTTCAATGCTTAAATTTCAACATTATGTATTCAGTAGTAATCAAACTTCACAATTAGGTATTGAGTTGCTTTAAGATTTAAATCCTTATGCCATTTATTTTGCTTCCATACCTCTGCACATCACAGTAACACAGTCTGTCTGCAATGAAGTCGTAACACCACCATGTTGCAGCACTTTGGTTCCGTGATTACAAAGCTTGTGGCTGATGAGTAAGCAATCCAAACAACATGAAATACTGCGAGGCATGATACATGCTAGATTCTGCAGCTCTATTTGGTTCAAGCAAATGGTCCAAGATATTGTATACGCTTGATGTAACATTAAGAGCAACGAGAGACCGGAGTCATCCCTTGTATGTGTACACATACTGTACCTGGCCAATAAAGCTGACCCTGATTCTGATGTAGCACTTGCCGTGTTGAGATTTCACAAACCTGCATTTCGTACTTGACTTCAGGTTCTCTTAAAAATTGCAGCTACATCTTACATTTCAATTCTCTATAAAAACATCTTTGACAGAAATCCTCATGTTGTTTGACCAGAAACTATTGTATTAAGTATTGAAGTGTACCACAGTATGTTTATGAATCTACAACATTTGTCAAAGACAGACATATAAACCCGATTCATGGATATCAAAACAAAAACCAGATAGATGGCGCTTTTTATAAAGCAATTCAAAATTGAAAATTGATTGTATTGAACATCATTGGTAAGCCTTCTAGTATCCTTACTATGTGCACAGATAAGTAAGATTTTACATCCAAGTGGTCAACACAGCTCAAGAGAGATTCCAGATGGCACATTCACAGTGTCCCTGACTACTTTTGGATGGTATTCGCTAAAGAAAACAATGAAGCCTAATGTATTTCTCAAAGTGTCACATCAGCAAAGGCACCCTTGTATTCCTGCCCTACATTAGATCTGTCTGAAGACGAGGAAATGTGTGTTGAACCTAAATGCATAGATGTGCCTTCATGGCAACACAAAACAAGCAACATAGATCAGTCAACTGTGTCATCCCTGCCATACTATATACTACTGCACTGTACGGTATGTATCTCCTTCTCAAATGTAAGCTGATAAGATGAAGAGATCATTTATGCAGATTTCTATATAAATATATTGCAGCATGGATCGCTGCAGTCAGTGCTGACCTCATTCATTCACAATTAAATCTTTTTGCATTAATAGACTTAAACAGACTATGCAGGAAATAACCCAATACTACAGTACTTTCTATTGCAAGTTATAGCACACTTATTAACAAGATACAACACTGGGCATGGTGTATGCAGAGCAGTGGGGAGGTAAGTAAAGCATGCTCTATAAACTAAACTAAAGCTTTATTTCCAGCATTGTTTTCACCAAGACTTCCATTCCATGTCAGCACCCTTAGAATCAGTTTCTATGTTTCTTCAAATGAAAGAAAGACCAAAAGTCGATCATTCAGGTACCAGTCACCCGATAACTCAACACCACTCCTCTCAACATACACTAATGTGTGAAATGTGATGCTTAAAAAGAGTTGTTTTTTTGACTTAACCATGAATGAGCAGATATTCTAATATGTCTCTTTTTTGCTGAGCAGGTTTCATGACGAGTAGTCATGTGTTAAGTCATAGGTTTCATGCAAAGTAGGGGTTGGGGCTGGATTTCTGAGTTAGTGCATTAGCTGGTTGGTGGAGTTCGTTACTTCTTTGCAGCCAAGGATGCCAGCTGACCATCAATATCCTCCTCTGGCTGCAATGGATGCCACTGGGCAATGGGGCGGCGCGGATTAGCCAGCATGTCGGACCAGTGCTTCAGACCTAGGCCAGTTGCCTTACTGCCCACGAAGATCTTCCCGATGGCATCATTCTTACCAATCTTGTCATAATCAAACACTGTGACTGCCACCAAGATTTTCTAAGAAGGAAACAAGAGATAATGTTTAAGTAAATGTAATGAGTGTGAAAACGTTTGTAGAGGGGAGAAACAAGCCTTAGCTTTACTCCCATGTCTATTATTATTATTACTGATAAAGGATAAATATTTTGGTTTGACTTGTACTGTACCTGCATCTGTTCCAGCGGGATTTCAAAGCTGAATGACTCGTTATAGTAAGGGTTTAGGGTGTTCTTCTTCACTGTAGTCTTCTTTTTCTTCAGGCGCTTACCCCCCTGCAGCAGCTGGATCTTTACATAAGGATCTGCAAAGGGCATCAATAAGATCAGCAATAAAGACCATCAAGGCAAGTTATTGTAAGATAAGACAAGATAAGCCTTTGTTAAAGTGACACTGATGTGATTAATAGCAGCAGAGTCAGCAAGTTTAGTATATGTAAACAGCATACACAAGACTAATATATAATATGTTTAAGTAATGATACTTAGTGTTAGTCTGTATTAATATGGAATTATAATAGAACTAAAATATAGTATATAATGTAATAAAACATATATTATAATATAGTACAACTTAATATAGTATGGGATATTAGATAGTATAAAGTGAAATACAGAAAGATAGTAACGTAATATATAGCATAGTTCAGCAATTAATAGAATATCAAATATGGTATTGTATAGTATGATACAGTATTTAATCAATAATAGTGTAGTATCTGAAAATATATAAATTAGTCAAATTTGTGTAATGTAGTTTCTGTTTAATCTTTGTAAAATATTTTGCATTGTGGTTCTGGGGTTACCCTAAAAAGGATCTAGGGACCAAAACCTTGTTTTTATCATTAAATACTTTAACCTCAGCTTGCAGAGTGCACTTTTCTCAATATTTGATGTGTTAGGCCTTCTTTCACTTTGGAATTGTGTTGTGAGTGCTAACATGTGGTTGTTGTTTCTATTGTTAAATCATGTCCTTTGAAACACCATTCCAAACCACAGGCATAGAAAAACGCAACTTTAAGCCTAAACTGTTTCCAACAACACCAGTCCAAATAAAAGTTTAGTAATCTAGTTTACATCATCATATTTCATATCTGAAGTGGGCATTTCTCTACCAGATAATCCGCAGGCATCCATCTTCTTCAGGTTCTTTGCCTCCAGGATGCAGACGGTGAGTTTCCCGGCAGTGGGAACATAACGGAGGGAGATACAGATGTCTCCGAGTTTCTCAGGCTGAGCAGTCAGCACAGAGAGAAGAAGAACAAGCACACATCCCCATTAGCCAACACAGTATGATGATGGGCTAAAGCAAAATGCTCTCAGCTGCTATCTGCTGTATGTCTTGCACTTTTTCATTTGGGTTGAAATTAAGGTCATCCTTTTGTCATCTTAGCAACATTGTCAAAATTATTGTTTAGAATTGCACAGTTCTGTTTGAAATGATATTTCCCGTTAAAAAAAACGTCAAATATCTCAGTCTACGAATTCCAAGGTAATGCAATGTTATCAAGACAAAGTTTCAGAAAATTGATTGACTACTGTCTGAAAATTATGATTTTGATGATTGTCTGAATGTTTGCGCACTTTAAGAAAACATCTTTCAAAGCATTATTTCAAATGTCTGATCGTTAACAGCACCTCCTCTTGATCCGCGCTCTCCAGATCCTTCCACTCCTCGATCGGTCTTCCGAGGTCAATGGTGTTCATGGGAATCTTCACCTCTCCAATGACGTCATGTTTGGAAAATCGGTCGTAGTCATAAACAGACATCACTAGAGTCTTCCCACCAAGCTCCTCATAGGGCACCTGATCGACAGACACAATATTGTGTTGTTTTGTACCTTGACACCTTATGTGTTTTCAGTTAGTGATTATATGACTGTAAAAAGAAAATGATATCCTTTATTAATTAGTCATTTAGCTGAAATTTTATCCAAAGAGAATTACAACTGTTATATATGTCAGAGGTCGCACGCCTCTGGAGCAACTAGGAATTAAGTGTCTTTATCAGGAACACATTGGTGATGTGTTTCAGTGGGAATCAAACCTGGGTCTCCCATATTACTCAGTCCCAGTCTTGTGTCTTATCCACTGCTCCATCACCCCTTTAATATGTTCAACAACATGTTCATATGAATTTCCTCTGGCTGGTCTATTTGCAACAACAGGTAAGCCAGGTTGATTGGAGCATAATTATCCAATCGTTATTGAATATGTTCATGGTGTTTTTCAGCTAAATCACTGACATAGTGAATACCGAGGTCGAGGCCGGTACTTAAAAACTGTCAAGAGATAGATGAAACAATGATTATCAGAAAAAGATACCCTGTTTTTAAGGACAAATAGCATTTAAATAACATAAATTAAAATAAATTACACAATATATCCTCTGATTTAAACATCTAAGAAAGATATTAGAAAAGGTAACATGCTCCAGCTGAATGAAACTTTTTTGAATTAAGATAATGCTACCATCCTTTGCAGACGCCCCATCTAGATATATTAAATGAATAAAAAAAACTTTCAAGCAAAAAAGTAAGACATAACTTAAATAAACCATCCCAGTGAAACACTGAATGTGGCAATGAACATCTCTTCAGCTCTGTTTGGGAGAGAACAGTTCTGTAAAGTAAGATTTGTATTCTGCAAATTTGCAGACGGCAGAGCTTCCAGCATGACCCAGAGCCAGTTGTAAAGTCTCTATGGGCTTTATTAACCAGGACAGGAAAGAGCAGCATGTAGGCTGCACAGGCCAGTGAGTACAAACATCCTGAGAAACCTGACAAGACACAGTCGGTCCTATTACACTTAAACGCTATAAGAGACACGCTGGCAGAACAAACTTGCTTACTATCATCCATAAATGTTTGATTTATGTCTCTCTTTCTGTTTACACCATCATCGATTCATATTAAAGCAGCAGGGTGGAAAGCAGGATGCGCATCTCTTCTGCAACAAAGGTAGACATATTTTATCACTGCACATACTGACAAGACTTACCTTGAATACAAATGTCTCATTGAAGACAGGGTTCAGTGTTTTCTTGTGGACTTTGGTATCATACTTCTTCTTCTTCTCAGGTAGGAGCAGGACTTTAACATAAGGATCGGAGGTTCCACCTGAGTCCATGGAGATGAGGTCCGCAGCTTGAAGGATGCCAACTGTGAGCTGCATGCAGAGGAAGTGTGGGTAGGAGAAGTGAAGACGGAATTATGCAAGTTCATAAGATTGTTCATTCAAGGTCACTGCTGCAAAGATTGGTAATACAACATCATCTGACAACTTAAGCCACGCAATCAATCATGACAAACTTCCCAGCTGGAGACGTATTGAATATCGACTGTCACAATTTTCATCACAGTCTGATAACTCTTTTTTTTTTTTACTGTACCATAAGATGTATGCATGTGTAATACAGTATATGTATAGCTATGTTTGGCCTACTTATACATTAGGAACAAATAGAATAGACAAAGTACACATTTTATTCTTGTCTCTGCTCTGTTTTATCTTGACTTAATTCACTGCATTTCCTCTTTGATTCAGCATTTAAAGCCTCATTAATTCATGTCATATACACCCACTGTGTCCATACGCTGCTGAGAGCATTACAGTAATGATGATAAAGTTACTGAATCTTTGACAAATGTGTTCCCTTTTCCCTCAGCCAGATTTATTGCAAAATTATTATTCCATATCTAGTTGTTTTAGTCTCTCTCTGCTAAAATTGTCATTCTGTTGCTCTGCTGAGGTTTTACAAAGAAGTTAGACACCTTGGGAAATAAGGTTTAGATGACAAGATTGATACCACTCTCACATCCGTCCTTTCAATATGCAGCTACAGCCAACAGCCAGTTAGCTTAGCTTAGCATAAAGACAGGGGAAAACCTGGCCTGGCTCTGTCTGAAAGTAACACAATCCGACTGATCATGAGTTCCTCTAAGCTTTAGAGGTACTAGCAGGAGGATTTTGTTACACTTGGACAGAGCTAGGCTAACTTATCCCACCCTCCTGCCTTCGGGCTATATTGTATCTTTGTATTTTTGCCTACAGACAGAGATCTAATCAAATACAATATAAATCATTTTCATGTAGAAGATCTGATCATTTAGATCAGATCTTGCACATCTGAAATTGTTCACTACAATATTAATATCTCTTTTAAAGCTTGACAATATGTGTAATGATTTTACAAGTGACAACCACATACCTTTGCATTCTCAAAGTCATAATCTATAGAATATTGCAGCTTCCCCAGCTTCTCTTGTTCTTTTTCCTCCTCTTCTTTCTCCTCCTCCGTCAGTCCGGTCTCTCCCTCATCATCATCGTCATCCTGTTGTTTCTGTGTGTGAAGGTAACAAGACAAAACAAGGTGTTAAAGGTCAGGGGATCGGGGATCAGAATACAGGGCTCCCCACGACAGCCAGCATGCCACAGACACTGTAGCTCCAGGAGTTTTTACGTGGGAGATACATGTTTTGGTTACTGCTTACCTGCACAGCACCTGATGATAATAACTAGGGATTGGTCATTTACAAAGTGAGAAATCTCTGACACATAAATACACATGTATACTTTCTGCACATCTTGTCCTCTCAGTGTTTTTGGATCATTGGGCAATTCCTTCGACATGCTTGTGCAGCACAGTGACAGCCAGAGTCAGTGGAGGCTTTGCATGCTATTTCCATTAAGAGCGGTAATAAATGCAATAGTTTTCCAGTTAAATCAGATGGTTCTATAGTTTGTGAAAGAGCTTTGATTTCACTGAAGGTTCACTAAAGAAAGTAAATGTTTCTATAAACCCCCCCTCATAACAGCAAGTGCCAGTGCATATAAACAATTTAAAAGGCAAATAAGACATACCATTCAGTGAAAGGAGATGGCTTTCAAACAACCTGCTGCTTTTAGCAGGAATTTAAATAGTTGTTTTGTTGAACCCTAGATTCAAAACTTTTTTTTTTAATGTGCACACCTTGTTTCACCTCTAAATTTATGTGACACCAAAATCCGTTATAACAATAAATGGTTCCAGTTTAAAAGTCACAGACAGCTATTTGAATAATGTAGAGTTCAAATTTATTATTGTAGTAAAATTAAAGCCTTATTGCCAAGGTAGCCTTAACTTTGAAATGTGTTTGCTGTTTTTTTCAGGCCATCCAGTGTCTCCACATCCTACCTCCTCCTTGAGTGTTATATTCAAAAAGACAGATTTGCAAGTATTTGGCTCTTCATGCAGTTTTATCACCGTTTCCATGTCTCCCAAACAACCAACCATGCCCTTTATCACATGCACAGATTAACAGTGTTAAAAGTGTCTTGCATAAACATCTCGTAGTCCAATACTTTCCATATTGGTGTGAGCTACAGTTACATTGTCCCAGGAACAATGCGTTAGATGGTTAGACTCTCCTCTCTGGGGTTTATGGAGCACATCATAGCTTTCCATTGTTACATTCTCAAGCTGTCATAACAAAAGTAAAATAGTTGGGGGGTGGGGCTAAAAATAATTTTAAAAAAAAGCAAAGGAAGCTACGACTTTCATTCCATGAAACCCCCCTCCGACCCAGGGGCCAACGTGAGCTATCCACCTACCGTAGAGCAGGAGTCCACCACAGTCAAGAAACACGAGGCACACACAAAACAGACACAAAGCGGGGGGAAAAGGAGGAGAGCAGAGAGAGGAAGAGATTGAACTCACAAGACACCAAACACACTACAAAAAGAAAGGCAGTCAACACCACCACCAACACAATTATGATGAGAAATGACACGCTGTTTTTTGGCCGGGAACAATAAATTCACATTGTGGACACAAGTAATTGATTGCTTTAATTAACTGTCACTGGAGCTTAGGGCAATCTATGGTGATTTTAGATGATTAGTTCCTCAAATGTCCCTCACTGGCTTTTCTAACACTTACTGTACTTTGCTTTCAAAATCTCCCAATATTTCTGCAGGTCTCATACCTTAATCCATTATCTTTAATTATAAAATGTTGCTTTTTGTACTTGCAACTTGTCAAATGAAACTTTCCACTTCATAGTGCTCATTATTCTTTGTCACCACGTAACAAAGAGTCATTTTTCACCACAGGGCCACAATGGAATACGTCACACATTTAAACGACCACCACAACAACATCAAATAAATGGAGGGGAAGAGAGCTCTCCTTGTGTCCTCTACAGCCTGGGTTATAAAAGCTGCTGGTAAAAGATCAAATTTGGTTAGTGATATAATATATAATAATGAGATAAATAACAATAAAAAGGAATAAATTGTTGCAGAAAAGAAGAGGCAAAACATCACCCAAAACATCCCGTTACTGTGACTTTTTTAACATGTAGGTAGCACAAGGCATCATACCTCGCCTTGCATGTTCTTCATGTTGAAGCCATCCTTGCCCTTTTTCCCTTTCTTGTTCTTCTTCTTCTTGCAGCAGCATTTTTTGATTATGCAGAAACAGCAGGTCAGGATGAGCAATGCGGCCACCACAGCAATGGCAATCAGGGCCCATGGAGGCACTGTCAGTTTTAAAACAACAGAGGAAAAATTGAGATTGATTTGTAACTCTGGTGTTTCTCACAAAGAAAGAACATTTTGAATCTCTGCAGAAAGTGGGGTTACACTGCCGCATTACTTACATGGGATTTTATCAATTTCATTCAAGAATTTGCTTTTGATCTCCTCAAACATGTCATTTTTGTTGATCTCTGTGTTGTTGGAGCCAGAGGTGTCTGGCACAGAGGTGGAGATGAAAACCGAGGTGGGACCCATGGTCACGGTGGTGGCACCGGTGGGCTCTGCGGCTGCCACGGCCTGTGGCCTTCTGAACAAGTTGAACTTCATTGTCAAAGACTAGGTGCAGCGTCCCTGAGGAACACAGATCAGACAAAAAGGGAGGATAAGATATGCTAAACAACTGTAGTGTGATGACCTTAGTGGGGAGAGATGGAACAAAGCTGAATGATTTAGAATATGTTAAAATACTTTCAGGATATACTTTCTCCTAAGGCCAATTGTTCCAAAGATTTAATGAATTTCACTGAGTATCAAACAAAACAAAACTGATGTGTATTATACTCAGAAGAAAAAAAAATTAATGTAGTGCTAAAAACATTTGCCTATAAGGTTTAAATATTATCTAATTCTTAATAAATAATTAGGTCAACATTTTAGGGAAATTACTATTTGCTCCAACAGCATCTAGCTGTCTGGTTTTCTAGACATGTTTTGTTCTCTGAAGATCACTAATTAACATGCTGTATCTCAGTGAAACGTGAAAAAAAAAAAAAAACAATATGTAGTTTCAGGGGGAATTAAGTGATGTAACCATTTCTTAATGAATAGGAGTATATCTTTCTGTGTGTCCTCTGTAGGCTATAGCCCTCACAGTGACAACAAAACTCCAAGAAGACAATGCATTTAGTTGTTAGTGAACCTGTGTACAAAGTGAATGGAAAGATGTGAGCATGATTCGCCCTAGTTGAAAATGTTTTTTACTTAATCCCAGGGCATTATGAATCTATTTTATACTCTTACAGAGAATAAAAGTTAAAGACGAGAGACTAGAGGAAAAGAAAGAACTGGAGATCTGAGATCAGTCAGTGTCTGAGCTGAGCACAAACACACATATGCTCCCACAGGTACGTGGTCGTTACATCCATTTCTAGCCAGCTTAAAGCTAATGTCTGGACAATTGGCACATTGGATATTTGGGACAAATCAACAGGCTGCACAGGCCAGTGGTCAAATTCGCTTACAGTCTGAACACACTTTTAAAGGTGAAGCTGAGTTAATATTTATATTTTAAGTGTGGCTAGCTGGTTACCCCTGTTCATAGTCTTTATGCTAAACTTAGCTAAGCAAAGCAAAGCTAAGCTAAGCGAGCTCATCACCTCCTGACTCCAGTTCCATACTTAAAACAACAATGTCAATGTAATATTGATCTTCTTATCCAACTCTTACGTTGGAAGCAAATGTAAATATTTCCCAAAATGTTTCTCAACTATTCCTAATAAAGCCCAGCTTGTTGAAATTCTGCGCTACTTATTATGTGATTAATCAATAAAGATGATCCCATTTGTTTGAGGAATGATAAGATCAAGCGCCACAATAAAGCTACTTAGCTCTGTAAAAGATGGAGGGACAGTCTGGGAGTGATCACAAATGTTAGTGAAGGATTAAACAGAAATCAGCTATGTGAATGAGCACAAATTGTTAACTGAGAAATCCCATAGGATATAAAAGTAATTTGAGACTAAACACATCCATTGTGCTGATGATGTGAGAACTTACTGTAGGAGCAGTAACTGAGGTGAACACGTCTCCCTGTATGAACACAGTGATCTGCCAGAACTGAAGGAGACCCAGCAAGAGACCTGCATCTTAACAGAGCTATCACATAATCAAAGAAGTTCTCCCTGAAATAATGACTTGATTGATTAGTGTACGAATCAGCTAATTTATTTATCTTTAGGTTTTGGACAAAATAAGACAAAACATTTAATGAATTAGTTGCATATGAATTATTGTGCCCTAACAATAAACTAAACTCTAAAAAAACTCTAGAAACAAAAAGGAGGCTGCCATTCAAATCAGTCTCACCTCAGTCAGAGAATATTAAAATAAGTGTATCTACTCAATGGTTCACCTTTTTTATCCTCTGAACATTCAATCCACCACAAACAGCTGACAAGATCAATTTACCTCACGGCCCCAAGTGAGCATTGATTCTCAGTTTTCTCTTTGCATAATTATTAGTGACACCATTTCCTGCTGAAAAGAACACAAAGCTGTTGATGCTCTGGTCTAAATGAGACTCACTCTTTTTTCTCAAATCAGAGAAAAACATACGCTGCAGATAACCGGATGCATTTGACAACTATAGCTTTCACTTTTGGATTACATTAGTACATTATAATCTGGTGCAGATAAAAAGGAATCCTTCTTTTTGTGGTAATTTATTCAATTGCTTAATGGAGCAGTTTACTTAATGTAGTAATTTATTAAATTAATTAATGGAGCAGAGTGTAGGATTAAGTGGCACCTATCGGTGAAATTGTAACAATCTCAATACAGCTCGGCTCACGCTACCCTTGCAAGCATGTAGGAGAAACTACGGTGGCCGCAAAACTTCTATCTAGAACCAGTATTTAGTTTGTCCGTTCTGGGCTACTGTAGAAACATGGCGGTTCAACATGGCAGGCTTAGTGGAAAGGGACCCGCTACCTTTGTAGATATAAAAGGTTTACTCTAAGGTAAAGAAAATACAAAGTTTCTCATTATCAGGTAATTATACACTAATGAAAACATACTCGTGAATATTATATCCCATTTCTGCCAATATTCTGCAAATAGTGCCCCCTAAATCTTACAAAATGTTTTAAAGCAGACAATATATTACACTAATAAGGATTTTGGGAGCAAAAACAGTTCAGTGGTTTAGAATCAGCAAGAATATTTTTACTGCAGTACATTTCTGGGAGCAACTAGTTCTAAACATTGTGATTTTCGATGCTGCCTTTTCATGCCCCCCACCAGCTCAACATAATGCTAAAGAATAATTGACTACTGACAACCTTTTACTTGATCTGCAGCTATATCGTCTCTGTTTGCGTTTTGTATGTAGTGTTCTGACAGAAAAGTTCAATAAATGTTTTATTTCTTATTAGCTTAATATCGCTGTTAGTGTGACTGTTAAGCAAGCACTATGTGGAGGTAGACTTAAACTGCAAAAAGAGAAAATGAAACATAAAATAAATATGAACAAAACCCTCAGCATGAATAAAAGATAAAACAAATTGCGTGCATGATGTGTATGTGGGAGTATGTGTGTGTCTGTCTATCATTACAGATCTCAAATGTTCAGGATGATTTTCGTTTCTCCCTCTAAAAGCACTAAAAGAAAATGATCTGTCTCAGTTTAAAAAAGAGATATTTTCTAGCCACTGTTTAAATGAGCAAGGACAACAATTCAGTTCAGGGTTTCACAGACACAAACACACACACACAGGCGTGTGTGTGTATTTGTGTATTTGTGCGTGCTTATCAAATGAATGATATACAGTGAGTCTTTTGCGAGACATTCTTATCTAAATAAGCTTACAGTGCATGTGAGGATTTCCGTATCACAGCATAAAAGTGTACCAGCAGACTTCCCTGTCAATGTCTGGCAAACATCAATCATCATGTAACCTCATCTTCATTGACTCACACTCCACAGATCAATAAGTATTGCATTCCAACATGTGCATCTTAGCGTGGATTTACTTCTGTCTCGTCGTAAGGTAGGATTTGAGGTTCGATGCGTGCCAATCACATACAGTAAAGTAGAGGCCTGTGTGCTTTTGACCGGAGGATTATTGTTGCTAAGCAATCCTGATAGTGTCTATCTGCTATCCAGAATTGTCCACAACCTGGCTAGAGCCGAGGTGACCAGCCAATCAAATAACCAATTGGCTTAAAGCCAGTGTCAAGTCATTGCCTGAGCTGTGGGCATGGGTATAATGTGAATGCCGACTGTTCTACTCCGCTATGATGTATGAAGATTATGATCAAATTTAGGCTGCTCCGAATGATATAACAGTCACTTTATGTCTGTACAAGAAATCATCACTAAAGAAATCATCACCTCTAATCACCTCGAACAAAACATGTCAGCAGCTGTGTTAAACACAAAATTCATGATAATTTCTGATCCAACTCAGGAAATCTCAACACTCCATGAGTTCTATAACTTAGCATGTTCCATCTGTTGGCATTCAGATAAGCTGTTGTGAGGATAGCGGCTGAACACAAAATACAACAAAACATGTCTAAAGGCCACCCTGCTTGTTTTAGCCTAGTGTTTACCTCTGTGCCATTAGCACTCAGTCCTTATCTGCCTTTGATTTCTGCAGCTCATCACTGGCCAGCATCACTCAGCATCAAAAAAAACCCAACAAAAAACTCATCCTGATTCACAAGGGTATTCAGAGAATATAGTCACAGCGTAAGAGTTTATTATGCTTCACTTAGTTTGAAAATGCAGAGAGCATCCGCTAAGATAGGTATCTTCTGGTTGTATGTTTTGATAGTATTTAAGCGTTCATCAATTTAACAAGATCTCCAAAACAAAACTCACCAGTCCGATGTGGTATTCCCCTTCGTGAGGTGGCCCATCCAATACCAATAACTGTATGGGCTACAGTCCCTCAGAGCTGTGGTTACATAGTCTGATGTCTCCCATAAGCAGAGACTGCAGTCTCCTCTCACTTCTCTCCACTGCAGCACTACACCCCTCCTCCTCCTCCTCCTCCTCCTCCTCCCACCCCCTCCCCTCCTCCTCTTCCAATGCACACCATCTCCCCCATTTTCCACCCTCCCATCACACACCTCCCTACTCCCGTTCTGTCTCTCCCTCAACATACTCATGCACATAGCCTCTTTACCTCTTTCTCTCCCTCTCTCTCCCCCCAACCTCATTTGTGATGCTGCTCACACAGCTGATTGCAGCATGCCACTCTTTGGTCTAGCATTGGAGGGCAGTTGTAAAAGATCAATATGCACAGGCTGTGGGGTGGGGGTGTTGAGGGGTGGGGGTGTTGACTAAAGCCAGTTTGCACAGATCAGAGATGGAGAACAAGCAAGGCAAGTAGTAGGTCAGCTGACAAACTCTTTAGGGTGTCCAAATGGTATAACGCTGAGCTATACAATTCATTGGATCCCAACAATTGATCTCGGAAAGTGTGATACAACCTTATGGAGAGATCCTTCCTTGTTAAACCCATTCAGAATGAACAACTGAAAAGAAGAATGATTAGGTGAACTTGTCTGCCTTTCACTGATCTCACAGGAGACTCGTCAATGATAATTGGAAGTGAACAGATTGT